CTGACTGACGAACTGACTGAAGCCTGACTTGACAGACTGCGAAGGTACGGATCACTGAGAGGAGGATGTGGGAGAGAGAGGATAGAGAACTGAAGTAAGAAGTGCGAACCGGTGAGGAAAAGATGAATAGAGGGGCGTGGAGGGTGGAGGGGAGCCGGGGGTGGCCAGTGGGTGTTGGTGGGAATGGAAAGAGAGACGGCAGAGCAGGGTACCTCTTTAGTTACATACAGGGTCTACAAGGGAAGACGACCACGGGAGGGTGTGAAGTGGCCGGGGGCAGCCTCTTCAGTCGATCACAGGGTGGGGGGAGGAGGGTTAGAGATATTACGGTACGTACGAGAGGGGCGATGGCAAGCACCTACTGGACGAACCACCCAGGTGGAGTACACGGACGAGGGCATGAATTGTGGAGAGGCCAGTCGGTATCTCCATATGTACGTCCGCTGTATCACGGGAAAGCGCACTCTAGCGAGGCGGCAGCAGAGGCAGTAACGTATCGAGCAAGCCGCAGACTGGTAAATCGCGTAAAGCCGAGGGATTTGGAGCCGCTTGTCTGGCAACAACATCGTACATCGTGGTAATACTCTACATACTCTTAGAGTAGAGTACTTTACTGTGCATAGGCCTGTCCTTGCTACCTTACTTCACCCCATCTATGAAGTACATACATGTACTCTCCCAGCTCTGACTAGTGTATGTAGAGCATTTTTTTATGTATCAGGTACGTAGTAGTACCTGTACCTACTCTAGGTAGATTTTGCTAGGTACCTTCTTTAGAGTACTATACGATGCCATGTACTTACCATACCATACATCATGTATCCTATGGTTTCTCCCTCTCTCTCACACACCCCAGAAATATACTCCAATCTACTGGCTATATTTTTCTTTCCTCCCCGACCACCCCCTCTAGGAGAAAAGAAAAAGAAAGAAAAATCTCCTGCTCCTTCTCAGGCATTGATATCAATCGTCAAGATTAACGCCGCCAACCGCAGAGAAGAACAGTAAATCGGTGGAAAGAGAGGGGAAAGGGGACCCTATCGAACGGAGCGGAGAAGGGCAACAAGCCGATCAGGTTGTCGTTGGTAGGAAAACGAAGCCACAGTGGACGCCATGCGCATGTCTATGAGACCATGTTCTACCTGCTCCTAGTGACACACTTGAAAGCTGCGAGCTGCGGCAGGGATGAGGGGGTTTCTCTAACGCACCTGTTGTCCAAGTAAAAATTCACATATCTAACCGCTTCGATACGCGACCACACCCCCCCTCCCTTCCCCCAGGCCCTCGAGGGCTAAATTTGTGATCCAGGTAGCTCGAGTGTATCGTGCATCTGGACTCTGGAGTGCTGTGATGTACGTGATACCCGTACGTACAAGGTCGGCACAGACGCAACAATAGGTATGAGACAAGTAGCAAGTACAGCTTGTAAGTACATGGTAATAGATAACCGGTTAATGATGTCTCTCATTCTTTTTTTCCCTGAAAAACAGAATCGTCATGGGGAAATCTCGATCATCATTTGGAAGAAATAAAATAATAAACATCGGGTTACCTCGGCACACGGTCCGGCTCAATAATGGTGACCCAATTCTACACTTGCCACTGACCGACCACCCCCTTCGGAGCGGGCTCGCAAGAAGCCGAGAGAGACGCCCAGCAGCGCTGCTGCTTTATTTGCCGCCGCCGCTAGGGTAGGTAGAGTAGAAGATAGAGTAGGTATCGTACCGCCTGTAAGTCATTTGAGACTACTCTAACGCCATGGTCTGGTTGCATGCTTGATCCTCAGCAGGCTCAAATCCGTGCGTTTCTTTTTTTCGAAGCTTCTTTCCTAGATTCACTACGTCAGCCCTACAAGATCCAACCAGAGAGCCCTTGATAACACGTATGAGAGAATACGGAGTGTCTATCCGTAGCTGTCTTTGCTTTATCTACTGAGGTGCAATACCTGTCTCGCCTTTCTTCATTTCTAGCTGTGTTGCCAGTCAGCATCGGTTTCATCAAGCTTCATCTCTCTATTTCCAATCCAAATTCTCCAATACAAGTTCAGAGGCCCGTTTTCTTCTTGTATATTAGGATCCAAGTGCCCGCACAGACAACAATCATGAGCTATAGGAAGGATCATAGGACTCCTGGACAAATAGGCGGAGTCGATATAGTGTTTCCCTATCGACCTGATAACGTCGAGAGCTCGCTCATCAAGAAACATCCCCTTCAGCGGATTCATTCTCCATCACGGTCAATTTCAGCTTTTGTGCACGTATGTCATTCTTCGGCTGAGCCCTTACCCATTGTTTTTTGTTTTCCCACGTTACACTTGTTTGATGAAACTCCCTCACCTGGAGTGGCGATGCGGCCAACCCCGTTGCTGCCTGCACATAGCTATTGGCGTCTCCAAATATGCAAGACCCTTGACATTGGATAATTTGTTCACACCCCACGGCAGGCTACCGGACTCGTGAGCTTCTTGTATTCCTTCCAATGGTAAGTGAGCCACACCATCATCCACTTGTTCTGTGCCAAAGGTTGCCTAGCTAGCTGTGGAAATGAATGATTCTCCAAATAAGCTGTTATCACTCATAGCTGACACATTAATCTTATCATAATTCAGTTTACAATATTTTCCAGGTGAAATGTAAGAGAATTGCCCCTTCGCCGTCCTCTTTTGCCACTCATTTAGTGTTGCTGCATTCCTCATTTGGTGAACCAAGCCTCTTCTGCAATTGGAGCATATCTCCGGGTTTATAATAAATAACAATTCTTATGAAACGTATGCTGACATTCTATGGGCAAAAATACAGAAACGAGGCATATGGGTATGGTCGATCTTCTCATCTTCAGATTTTCCCCCTCAACCAAGGCAAAGGCGGGGAAGGCCCCGCCTTATCCAAGCTTTCTTGCAATAAAAAAAAAGGATCTATAGCCATCTCTCATCTAGATAAACTGCTGACTGGTACGATCCGCGAGGTGCTTCGAGGAGATGATACAGATGGCATTTCCAATTCCTTACGTAATATCCCATTTCTATTACTCTCCTCAGAAGATTCTGGCTTCCATTGTCGGGGGCTAAAATTTCCTGCTTTTTGCACATTTCCCCGCCCTAATCTTGAACCCTAACCACCTTTATCTACCGTATGTTTTTGATAGCTGGGCTCACGGACCACATTGCTACCCGTCCCATGCGGCTCAAATCCTTATCGGATCTTGTGCCCTTTTTTGTGAAGGCTCGAGCAACCAAGAAATATCATTTGGCTAAATACCTAACCTCACGATGCTCTTCTAGGATTATCGCTCTGTCGATATCTACCTTGACTTTTATTTTCGGATTTCTTGCGGATATAACCCTCAATCCAAAGCTATTTTTGGTCAAGAATGCTCTAGCGGTGGCTAGCGCACCTTTGGAGGTGTTGATTAGTCTGCTGTACTGGGGCCTCACAGCTGTGAGTCTCACGTCCCTTTGTCCCTCATATAATTTGTTTATATATAATTTGTTTATATATTTCATTGGTATCGGTATCATTTCCCCATTCTCTGGTCCTTGTGTCGCGTGTGCCCTGCACGAGATACATGTATGTATCTGGATCCACTCGGATACACGCGGCTTGTTGGGCTCTTTAATTCTGAGCACACTGGCTCAACAGGCTCTACACTCTGTGTCCAATATTACCCGATATTATACCCCCAATCGCTAGAGTGTATGAGATTGCGACAATAGTCATCCTAACTAATCCCCATATTTCTTTCTCGCTAATCGTTGTTCTGTTTCCTTTTGACCGTTGTTTCTGCCCCCCTCTTCTTAAATTTCTTCTCATCCAACCACGTTCAAACATATCATGCATCACATAACCGGGGGGGGTCCCATGTGACAATCTGAATCTGCCTTACCACATCTTTGTGAATTTCACTTTTATTTTTTTATTTTCTTCCTAATTTGTTAAATTTGAATGGGGAAAGGAGGAAATGAAGGATAAAACAACTAACGCCTCATGTGCATCGCTAGATCGACCGCACGCTAGTCATGCCGCCTGGAATGCATATTGATACATTTGTCGGTCAGTACATACATATTCCGGCCCGGCCCGATCAAATTTGCAAATCTATTTCCTTCATAATCTCGTGGTTTATCGTGTCGCTTTTTCCCCGGTTCCATACCGAAAGATGTTAAAGTCTTAGCTGGGACTGTTGTTGTTGTCGCGCCATATTTCAAATCACCACTGCTCACTCATCGTATTCTAAAACCGGCATTTCTCAGATTGGAAGGCTTGGTACGTTTTATGTCAACTCGCTAACTCACTACAGATCTTAGCTTGCATCTTTTCCCTGCCACCCTTCTCCTTATCGATGCGCTTTTGTTGTCTCCACCATGGACTGTAGGCGTCGTCCCTGCGCTCCTAGTTCCAGGTTGTCTCGCGACTTTCTACTGGTTTTGGCTGGAACGCTGTTATTCCTATAATGGATGGTATCCGTACCCAATCATGGAAATCTTGAAGACCGAGCATAGGATCATTCTTTTTGCCGGGTCGGCATTGACTATGAGTGCGAGCACACTGGCGTTAAAGTGGGCTTTTACAAGATTTAATGGGCAGCTTGGAAAAGCGGTCCCGGTAGATGTGAAGAGGAGATAGACGAATATTACTCTCCGGTGGATACGATGTACGTGGAAGTTTACTTGAAGGTGGTTGAGACCTGTAGTAAATGGTAGAGGAGTATTCACGACATTAAGATACCTGTGCGTATCTGCTGTTTATCGGACAATTGGTTTTGTTTTGTTTTGATCTATATATATCTGAAGATTGTTTATTAGAGGATATAGAAAGACTAGCACGCATAGATATATATCATGAGAATGTTTACAGTTGAAAAAAGTATCTCAATTGCCTAGACCTAAACTTTTAATGCTCATGACGCCGTAAGCAATGCCTAATTTACAAGACTTTTATTTTATTACACCAAATGGACCTCACGTCCCAAATACCATTTTTTGAGCTAGCTTCCGCTTAGATCTAGATCAGACGCAGGGAGACCTTTCCATCCTTCTCCTTCTTCACACACAGGGCCTTCCACAAATCCCTCTGCACAACCTCCGCACCATGTGTCTTCTCCAACTGTTCAACCGCCTTCTTGACCTGCAACGGATACGACCCCGGCTGGATCAGGTCAATGAAGGCCTGCCCCAGAACACGCCTCTCGGCAACTTCTTTCGCGATCTCCTCTTTGGGCTTCTTTGACTTTGGCGCGCCCTCCTTCTCGTCCGCGCCTTCTTCGGCTTCAAGCTTGCGCTTCTGCTTGAGCTCCTTCATTTGCGAGCGGGTCAGCTTAGGCTTTTCGGCTTCGGCTTCGGCCTCTTCGGTGGCAGCTTCTTTGGGCTCTTCAGCGGCTGATGCAGGCTCCTCGGGGGTTACAGCTTCGGCGTTGGGTTCTTCGGCTTTGGGTTCTTCGGCAGCGGATTCTTCCGCGGCCTTCTCTTTCTTGTCCTTCTTAGATTTCTTGTCCTTCTTAGACTTCTTGTCCCCCTTGGGACCTTCAGCGACTGGCCTGGCCCCAGCGACTACTGGGACTGCTTCGGCGACCTCGGGCTCGGCGGTGGGTGCTGGATCTTCGGATTTCTTGTCCTTCTTGCTCTTCTTTGACTTCTTCTCCTTCTTAGGCGTGGCCTCTTCCTTAACCTCTTCAGCAGTAACCACCGGCTCAGCAGCAGTCTCAACCACAGGTTCAGCAGCCTTCTTCTCCTTCTTTGCCTTCTTCTCCTTCTTCTCCTTCTTCGCCTTCTCCTCCACCACAGGCTCCTCCTTTTTCTCCTCCACCACTACCACAGGCTCCTCTACCTGCACAACATCCTCAACATTCTTCTCAGCAACCACAGGAACAACGACCTGCTGCTGCGCAGCCTTTGCGCCCTTCTTGCCCTTGCCCTTTTCGGGCTTGTAGAGCGCGCCCTGGTACTTTTGGGCCTCGGAGATGCAGCTGGTGTGCGTCTTGTGGTCGTTACCGCTGAAGGTCGTATTACAGTCGATGCATGTGAAGTAGGCGCCCCGGCACTGGCCGCGGTGCGAGTCGAGCTTGGGCTTTTTGATTACGTCGTTGCAAACTTCGCAGGAGACTGTATAGTCGTTAGCGTTGGCCGGGCATTGTCATTGTCAGTGTTTTGCGGCAAGGCAATTGAGGGGGATTGAACGGGGATAGGGGGCGAATTACAAGAGACCATGGTGGGCGAATTGGAGCCTTTGGTGGAGTTTTTAGAGGTGGAGTTTTTTTTCCTCTGCAAATCTGAGGATATCGAGAGTTTGTGCACAACTTTTTTTTTTTTCGGTGCAAAGATAGCTGAGTCTTGGCAGGTCGCCAGGGCGACAACTTACAAGGGTCCCGCCCACGCGCTTAAGCTGAACTAATGGGACCGGGCGCTAACTGTATGCAGCAGTGAGCCCTAACCCTGAGAATTTAGGTTTTGGGACGCTTAGGTGCATGCGGCGGGGAGAAGGAAAAAAGTTAATATTGGGTTTGATAAGGAGTATGTCGTACGTAGAGGAGGAGGCGGGAGATTGTAGTGGAAAAGGCTAATTAATTCATTAGTAGAAGGGCGGGATGGTATCGAAACAGTGAGAATTAATTGGGGTATCTGGTTGAGCTATCTGGTTGAGGGTAGGGACATTTAGCTCTGTGGGCGCCCTTGATTGATGGGCTGTGACGTTTTTAGAATAACGGTTGAATAGTAATAGTGGCCCGTAACGGCAAGGTACTTTGCGTAATTAAATTTAAAGCTCCTCGTAGCTGGCAATACTACATGAATATGTAGGTACATGTAGTAGTAGCAGTTACTAAACAATAGTAGGACTGGCCGCCGTAAAAGGGTACTTGCCTACCAAGTCTAAGTAGTAGCCAGCTCACATCCATCCCTTACCTCCATCCAGCACGCAATCACCAAATTTTATTGGGCCCGAAATAACCTTCTAGCCCTACCCACCCACCTTTACCACCCACCCTCCCCGCCATAGGGCAATCACGCGAGCCCTTACCTCCTCAATGTAACATTGCACAACATGACTCGGTACTCGGCTCTTTACATACCCTGCCTTACCTACCTCTACGTAGCATAGCATAGCATAGCATGTTCACCGCTCTCTCTGCGCTGCTCTGTGCTGCTCTGCGCTGCTTAAACGGTTAATCCGCAGACGCAAGACAGAGTTTTTACCCTCACACCGATTGGTGCGGCGGTGATAAGCTTTTCGATTTCGGCTTGGGGACGGACTTGAGGTCTAGGGTTTGGGTTAGTTAGCTTTGACATGGCTGGATTGGACTGGGTTGGGGTTACGTTATGTAGAGAGGCGGGTCTTGGTCTCAGATATCGATGCCCGTGACCGCCGATGGATAATCAAATCGTAGTGCCGCCGGTGGGGGTGATTGATACTGCAGTATGTTGGGCATGTGTGTGTGGGGGTTTGTCTAGTGGGGGTGGGGTCTGTGAATATGAGACTGAGACCTGCCCAAGTGAGACATTGTTTCGTTTCGGATGACGACAGTGACGGGCGGTGATTGCGTATGGGCCTGTGGGCCGTGTGCTCTGTTGTATGTATCGTAGCGCTGAGACTTTCGGGACTGGGGAGTTGAGATGGAGATGGTGATGGGGATCTGAATTGTTGGATCTCAATACCTCAATACCCCAATAGCTAATACTGATAGTGGATTTCTGTTCTGTGTTCTGATCGCGTTATGGTTTTTGCTTATTTCTTAACTCGGTGGACCGTGCCCTCAAGCTCCCCATCCTTGTTATGAACCGCGGTTTGTGTACCTTGAAATAAGCTCGATATCGTTTAGAAAGAAAGAAAAAAAACCCATATGTATGTAGCTTAGCTGTTACCTTTTTACTTCACCTGGTAGGGCTCTTCAATCTAAGTAGAGTATACATGTATGTAAGTACAAGTAGGCACAATGCCCAAAGCTCTCAAGATCTCGGTGTTTCCTCAAATTTCCAACCACCCTAGAATATATTCTAGCTACATGTATCTACATGTAGTAATCTCATAGCTAAATCATCTAAGCTATTGTCCTCGTAGTGTGGACGATATTTAACCTTGCAAATGCATATAAACTCATCCCACCATACAAAGAATCAATACACTACATGTACCCTTCCTATGATCCAATCCCGGCATATATGTGCTTAAATGTATCCCAACCTCAGTATTCCCCAGCACCTAGTAGCTAGACGTACGTACACACAACCAAGCACTCGACGTGATACCATTCTAGGGCAACTAAGGTTATGAGGCCAGCTAGCTACATGTAGTTCCATGTAGGCAGCCACCTACCATCATAATTTCTGGTCCTCTGTTGGCTCCCTACCTCTTCTCCTTCTCTTCTCCTTCTTCTATATTCTTATCATATTGCGGCTTCATCAGCCATTAACCCCCCCTCCTCGTCCTTCCAAAGCCGGGGACAGGAGGATCCGCTCTCTTGCAGGGCGATTGTACTGGTACAAGCCTTGAGCTGATTGTATGTATCCTTTCCCTTTCTTCTGACGGCGATGAGCAAACTGTTTACTTTGAAACAAAAGACTGACTGTAGTAGGCAATTTTACTGTTGTCGCTCCTCACCGCACCTTCTTGTATGCTCCCCTCCCCCCTCTCTGCCTATTCGTTTTTATCAAGTCCTCTCTCACTCACTTATATTGTTATTAAGTAAACGAAATTATCTCTAGGCTAGGGGTGCTATCTTTGCATAACTTATGGTTTGGTGGTAAGTTTCAAATCCTCTTCGTTCTTTGCTACGCTTTGATATGTGTACTGACTGGACATAACAGTGAGGTGATCCCTCTGTCTGTTTTTTGTATGTTTTCTCTCTCTCAGTCTATTTGTTTCTTATCAAATTGTCTCTTACTTACTGATATTTGCATAAAACAGCGGAGATTCATCGCTGTCTGGATTGGGGGCGCATTGGAGGAACTTACGGTTCGGGAGTAAGTTCCAAATCCTCTTCCTTCTCTGCTATATGTACTGACTTAATACAACAGAAAGGCAACTGTTTGATCCTCGCAGGTACCTAGAATCGAGATGTATTGGCTGTGTGGCTGTGCAGGAGGGGGAAGCCTTCCGTACGAGGGAGTGCGTACTACACGCACTTCCTTGTATGGAGGCTTTCTACCTGCTCATAGTTATACCACTAATGCATCTGGCTTCTCCCCCTGCTTGAACTTCTGGGGATGATAGGCCCCTGGGGGAGGGGTTTTCACTCGTGGCGCCTCTGCAGTGCCTCCCCAGTTTGTGCTCTTTTTTTGCTCCCAATTGTTGGAAATCATTACTAACACGCGGTGGGTGCATATAGAACAGAAACATGCCTATTGGGTCCTGGGGATGCGGTGGCCTGAGTGCATCTCATTGTCCCCGGCACAACTCTACCACGGGATCTCCGTTTCGCTTGCTGGAAGGGGTGTGATCTAGGAGATTCACCTCCAAAAAGTGAGTAATATCATTCCTTCTCTTCATTGATTCCTTTTGTCGGCACGATGCTAATTATGTACCCAGCCTTGCTGACCCCTGGGCCGGGTCAACCCAAAGTCAGATATGGGTGCCTGGGTCTCTCTGCGCGAGGACCTGATGGAGTAGCCAGGGAAAACCAGGTCAGCCTCATCAACTATCTGGGTTCTCTAAGCTAGATAGGGCATCTATCGTGCCACCTATGCCGGGTGTAGAGTTAGGAGGGTATAAATAGTAGAAATATCATTATGTTTTTTGTGTTAGTTCTTGTTCCTCTCTTTGAAATCGTTGTGACATTGATGTTACGTGACTCCACCGTGATGCATATTATCCCATTATTAATATAGGCATCATCTCCAAAGCTTCAGTACCACTTCGTGGAATTGTCGGCCATCATACTCAAGATCTAATCTGGGCATTGATAGCATCTCCCGAACTTGTCTCTGATTTATTTCCTTTGTTCAAGACAATAAAACCGGAAGATGTCTGCAATACTACTAATTGATAAACTATCAATCATCAATCACTAATACCGTGAAATGCTGAAAACTGTGAAATATAGCCGAGTGATGACTTGTGATTCCACGTGAAGTTTGTTTTAGTTTTGTAGAGGGCTCCTTGCTCTGTCTGGACTGGTGGTTTGAAAGTCATCGATATTATTTTGCCGTTTCTCCGTTTTGTGTTTTAAAGTAGCCAATTTGTGGACACCATGAGCCAAATATTGAATCGTTGGCATGGCGTAAATCAGTGTAACCTTTGTTACCCGCAACACTGTAACTTTTGTTAACCTCCTTGCCGAACATGTGAAACCGACCTGGAAATACTTTTTAACAGCACAAGTCCTAGGAATTTCCGCTGTCTACTGATGTATTGTTGTAGTGATAGCGCTAACTAAAACACACTTCCCAACCGGCCGTGGCTCTAATAATCGAATCCATAGGCTACAGTATTACAGACCATAGCTGATTCTTTGCATTTAAAAGATATAGTTACCAATCCACAGAGGGATTCTTTTCCGGGGCCGGGTAGTCGATATGTCCATTAAACCGTATGATCAGGCCCGATGTAAATGAGGGCCACTAGCCGCATACAGTAGGTATGATATTGTGAACTCTATAACCGGAGGTATCTGGTACCTCTTGTCACGATCGGATAATGATCTTACTGTGAGAGCATGAGCTCTTTGGGCGTTCAACACATCCTACCTACTGTATGTAACTAGTGGTCCACGTTTACGTCGGGCCTGATGGTTTAAGGGAGAATCTATGGTAGGTGCCCTGACAGATATGCGCCCCGTGAGATGGCTCATATTATCTGATGCTTTGACACATTGTGAGTAGCAGACATCAATACACTTCCCGCGAGATTGGGCGGTGATCGCTTGTCCGCCATCTTGTGGGATTCGATAGCCTACTTTCTATGCGGTCCTAAGTTGATCCGGACGGCAAAGGCTTCGTTCGTATAATGCCTCTCTACCACAAAACATGAAGGGGGCGGAAATGATATGAATCAGTTGGTATGAGTGTCAGTATTTGTCTCTTCTCCCGAAAGAATCTTTCCTATACTTACGTTGAAACAAAGATCTTTCTTAATCCGGTAGGTATATATCCGGGAGGATATGCGCCTATAAAGTAGCGGCCTTAGGCATTGGGTTAGCAGGAGCAGCGGAGACTCATGAAGTAAGGCGACCGGCACTCATCTTAGTCGAGACATTTATGCTAATCTGATCATGTCTAGAAGTCTTGCTGTACCAGATCATCACCGTTGGTATCGGAGGTGTAAAAACAGCACAATCTTCCCATCTCTGAAGCGCAATGAGGAGCGCACTTAAACCACAAGATCTCCGCATCTCCGTACCATATCAAAAACGAAAGCATCCGACTATCATTATCACCACCGGAGGTGGACAGTGTGGTTCACGAGGACGAGCGTCCTTGTATCCTTACCTCGAGGACACGCAAGGACAGTAGTCCAAAAGGACAAGGAACCTCGAGGACTTCCAAGAACAATTCTTGGCTATAATACACACTTAATATACCCTAATCGGATGAGGTCATGAATAAAGTATACCTTTCATTTTGAGAAATATTACTTTTTTTGGTTTACTGGGTCATTGCTTTATCGTCCTCGAGGCACTTTGAGGCCAATAGTGCTGGACCTTGAGGATAGACAAGGACAGAGGTCAACGAGGGCGAGGCACCCGAGGACACCCCCAAACCTCGCCTCGAGCGTCCTCGTAGACCACGCTAGAGGTGGATAATTAGTACGCTCTTCTCTTCTCCGAAGCTGAGAAAAGAAAAAAAAAATGTGTACCCAACATATTCATTTTAGTACCCCAACGCTCTGTCGAGATGGAGCACCCGACCACCGCCGTTGCTACTGAAGGTGTATGATTAAATTAGCATGAATCCCTCTTCGCTATAGAAAGCAATAGGAAGGATGCACTTAACTTCAGAATCTCAACGCTGTATCGAGCTAGGAGTATTTAAGCATCAACGCCACTACCGGGAGTGTATAATTAGTATAGGCACACTCTATCTCCTTATCCTGAAGCAGAAAAAGAATGCACCTACCAGTTCAGTACCACAACACCGTATCAAGATATAAGCACTCGATTACCTCCACCGAAGGTATATATATCCACACGTTAGCACGCTCTTATTCATGAAGCAGAAATGAAGGTACACTTACCAGCTCAGTATTTTAACACTATATTGAGAGGAATTACTTACATGATCTGTTACCATACCACAACCACCCGGAGGTGTACAATTAGCACGCTCTTCTCATCTCTGGAGCATAAAACAAGAAAGATTACACCTGCCAGCCCAGAATCCGAACACCATCAAGATAGAACCACTTTACCGCCACGATCAACACCGGAAGCATACAATTAGCAGGTAGTACATGCCTTTACTTCTTCGGCCGACGAAGAAGAAGGGGTAAACTTACTATCAGCATCTCAGCACCGTATCGGAAGAATGTACCCAGCTAGCCACCACCACCATCCCCGGGAGTGTTTAATGAATCAATTAGCACATCCCGCTCATCTCCATGTAGCAGACAGCAAGAAAGAATAAACCTACAGTTAACAACTCAACACCGTATTAAACCGGGAAGCACCCAGCCATCACCGCTCCTACCAGAGGGGAATATAATGTATTTGGCACACCCCATCCCAACTCTTATCTCCGAAGCAGCGGGGGGTGGACTGGCCAGAATTTTTAACTTCGTATCGAAACAGAAGTAATCGACCATCACTGCTACCATGAGAAAATATAATTAGAGAACTCCATCTCTTCATCTCCAAAGTAGATGAAAATGTCGTATGGAGGATGGAAAACCAACCTCTGCTGCAGCGGAATTGTGTAATTAGCATATTATTCCTATCCACCATCAAAACCAGAAGAAGAAGAGAGTAAATACCAGCCAGCTTATTATTACCTTGTTATGCTTCACATTCTAGTGTCGGGATTGAGGGATGGATGAATCCATTTAGGGATGGAACAGGATGATAGAAGATAGAGGATGAAAGATGGAAGAGAGTACGGAAATGGGGCAGGGAATAAGGTATGGGTGCAAGTGAAAGAGAGGAAAGGCTGTGTCATAGTTCTTACCCGGCACGACATGACATATGACGGGATGTGTCCTTCCCGCTGTTAGTGTGCCGTCGGGAGTACATGTATTCATGGGATTGCTTGGCACACCATAGTGTGAGTATTATCCTGGCCTGATTTTCTAGTTTCTGATTTGATTTCTTTTTACCCGTGGAGGATGATTTGGGAACTTTGATAGTACATGTATGATGGATGACCATGGACTTGGGTGGCCGAGGAGGCGATATGTACTTGTACGTATTCACGCATTCATAATATCTTCCTGATGAAAGAAATTAAGATATATTCTGTACGTAGATGTAGTGTTGACGGCACCTGTAATGGAGAATATCATATCGTTCTCAGTTCATCCCTCGCAATTAAACACCTAACTCACGATTCGCTCTCATAACTTAACATGTACCCTTCACCTACTTGTATCTCCCTACCCAATTAACGTACCGTTTCTATGTACTTAAAATCCAGGAAACATGTACTGTCATAAAACTCACTCCCAACGCGCAGTACTGAGCCGGTACAGCTATCTTGACTGCGTCCCTGACATTAAGCAGGACACTCCCACCCTCCAGCGTCTCAGCTCCCGCATGAAGAAGACAATCTGCGAATAGAAGCACCTTCATACCACCATCCCGTCGCATCCATTAACCCGAAAAGACAAACCCGCCAAAAGGAAAACGTAGACAAGACACCTGTGTCCCAGACAAAGAAGATGTATATAGAAAACCGGCTCAATCACAGCTCATCACTCGGACCATATGGACCAATATACAAAATCGCTATTTTTCTATTTTTTTTATTCATTAATTTTTGGCGAGTAAATGCATCAATTAGCACATTTCCCACACAAAAGTTTGGGAAAAGGCACATGTAAATGTGCTTACAGGGGTACGTCTGTTGGAAATGTGTACTTTTTTCCTTTTGCATCCCTTTTACTGTGTCTTTTCCCACAGTCGATCCCCTTTACATGACTTTCCTGTGCCTTTTCCAACTGTCGACCCCCGGGCTCCCATTTATGTCCATTTTGTGTCCATTTACTGTGCATTTACTATGCATTTTGTGCCCATTTACTGTCCCTTTATTCTCCCTTTATTCTCCCTTTATTCTCCCTTTTCAATCCCCTTTCGATCCCTTTTCAGTCCCTTTATCCTCCCTTTTCGATCCCTTTGATATTTTTTTTCTAAAATTACCACATATATTCCTGGGCCTATAGGTGTTCCAAAAACGGTCATCTACATGTACATCAATTCAGCTAGTATAGTTGATATAGTCCTAGCTATGTCAGCCTAAGGTAAGAGGTTCAACCCTTATCTAGGTAATGATGTAGATAGACATCCCCATATCTTTTCGTTTTTTTTTTTGACAAAATTCGGTTGAGGAAATGGGATGTAAATTGGATGTAAATTGGATGTAAAAGCGTGCCATTGCACTTAAAACCATTTTACATCCCTTTTTCCTCCGGTGCACACGGGCCCATATATATTCAATCACTTCCCCCATACAAAATATTAAATTATTTGACCACACGATTTTAATACACACTCCGGTGCATTTCCCGGTTCCTTTACCAGACAGGTTTTTAATTATTTCTACCCACATGACTTTAACTACATGTACTTCCCCCCACACCAATTTTAACTATCTCCACACGATTCTAACCATCTCCACCACAGGTTTGATTATTTCCACCACACGATTTTTAATTATTTCTACCATACAAAATTTGATGCATTTCCCGACGACATTCTCCACACAAGACTTGATGCATTTCCTGATGCATTTTCCACTCGTAGTAGAGATAACGGAGTGTCATGATCCCTCCCCCCCCCCCCCCCCCCAAAAGGCGGCGTTACCAGGTAAGGATATCAAAGACTAAAACACCACCGTAGTACCGGACCTGGATAAAAAAGCCTTCGATCCTGAACCCTATCTTTATGCTATGGGAAAAGATTCGGGGGGGGGGGGGGGGGCGGGGGCGCGTGCGGCGTGAAGGGAACAGAACTCGACCGGCCGAGTGATAGCTCATGAATCGGGATAGCGACCAATCACGAATTATCACTCGGCCCGGTACGAATGGCAGCAGGTCTTGGATCGGTGTTGTATTGCTGCTGTTGCTGGCGGGATTTGCGGTCTGGGGAGAAGCGAGAGGGGGTGGGTGGGTGGGTGGGTGGGGCTTTGGGTGTACGTGCACGTGGTGACTTGTGAGGAAAGGAAAGGGTGCACGTGGCCATGGTGAAAGGGTCGATGATTGGTAAATTTACAAGATTCTGTACTCTGCGGAGCGCTAGGAAACATAGTGATGTGGGGAAGCAACTCATACTTGTTGTTGTTGTTGCTGTTCGTTTGTTCATTTATTATAACTCATAGTCAGGAATTTCATGGGTGGGGATGGTGTCTTTATTTGCGGGGGGAACAGCCATACTGCAAGAACAAGTTACAATCTAGCTACAGACAGCAACAACCACAACCACAACCACAACACCCCCTCCTCCTCCACCACCACAAGCCGCCTCCCACACCCCACACCCCGCACCCACCCCCTACACCCACCCACCCACAATCCTCCTCCCCACCGCCCTCATCACCCAAACCCTATTCGCCTCCTCCACCGCCCACAAATTCACCGCCTCAACCCTCACCCTCGCCTCCGCCACAAACACGCCCCACAGCACCTCCCCCTTCGCCTGCTCCTTCGGCCCCCAAAACCCGTCCAGCAAACCCCTCACCAGCCGCAGCCGCCCCTCCAGCACCCCCGCCTCCCGGTCCGCCGTCTTCCCCAGCCGCACAATCACCGCCAGCACCCCCGCATCAACAACATTCTCGTACTGCTCGCGCCCGCCGAGCACCTCGGCCAGCCGCTGCACGAGCGGCCTGCGGCGCACGGACGCCGTTGCGCGCAGCACGTGGCGCTGCCGCTGGGAGTGGGGGGCGGGGGCGGGGGCGGGGGCCGCTGCCTGGAGCGTGGCGTGGAGGTGCGCGAGGCGGGTGTTGACGCGGTTTGCGTGGGCGAGGGCGGCGGCGGTGGTGCGGAGCTTGCGGGCGAGGGTTGATGTGCGCTGGTGCAGGGCGGTGGGGAGGAGGTAGTGCGGGGTGTCGAGGTGCTGGCGGAAGGTTGTGAGGACCTCGGTGACGGTGGTGGGCTTGGTGGTGGGGGAGAGGAGGGTGTCGAGGGTGCGGTGGAGGGCCTCGAGGTCGGCGTGGTCGCCGGGTGTGAGGGGGGGATTGCCTGGCTCGGAGAAGGAGCGGTGGCGGGGGGGGAGGGTGGGGGTGGGGCTGGGGCTGGGGGTGCGGTGGAGGTCCGGTGTGGGGCGCATGGTGCGGCGGAGATTTGGCTGGAGGGGGTCAGTGAGTGGGTGCGTGATGTGAGTGTGGCGGGATGGGCCACTTACTGATGATGATGATGATGATGATGATGATGATGATGATGATGATGATGATAGATTGCCCCGTGAGCTGATTGTGTGCTCCATATATACGTTCAGATGCTTAGATGTGGCGTGAATGTAGCTCTCTTCCAATGTTTTCCCAGAACCAGCAAGAATCGGACGGCGGCTCTCGTGGCAGGGTAAGCCACCCGTTCTATGGCACCGGCCGAATTCAAGTCGGCACAGACAAGCCATACTATGGAGGCGGGCGGGCGGCGACTAGCTAGCTCTGCTCGCATCTTTCAAGTTGAGTTTTTCAAGTTGACGGTATAGGAATTGTGATACACAAGGTCTACTACTTGTAATGGATGTATCTGTTAGGGGGCCCTTACCTCTATCTGCAGGACTAAACACTCGAGAAGGGACCAGAGAATCAAGGTGGTGGTAAAACGTGCGAGTGACTTGCGGTGATTGGTGCCAAGACATTCCCGACGTGGTACAATACGTTTTTGGACCCGCTGAATTATTCGTCACGAAGAAATGCATGTATTACCAGGGTGTGACATCTCTTGGATTTGAATTTTCTAAGGCGGTACTTTTGATGCGCGCTCAATACAATGATTCCGCTTCCAGCTAGAGGTACATGTAGTCCTTGGAGCAGTAGAGAACGTTAGAGAAGTAGAGATACATATCAAAAGACTTCTTCCCAGATATAGAGACTGATACAGCACTACACTGCACTCCTCCCTTGAAAGTACATGTAGCCATACCATTGCTCGAAAGCAGACGCAATCCAAACACAACACAAAGTTTAAAAAAAATCCCGTTCCAAGGTCCAAAGCGACAAAAAAGGAGAGGCATCCCGCTCTGCTCCTTCCAACCCAGCTACTCAGTGTTTCCACCTTTGGGGGATCTGTGGATCGGATCTGATGGCGGAAATCACCACGGAAATCATCACAGGGAACTTCAAGTTCAGTAGTACTTTACCGCCGGAATGGGTAAAGAAAAAAATAAGCGTTAGTAAAGGCTTAAACAATTGTTATTTAATCGTTATCTATCGATAACGATTATTTCCTGTATAATTGCTTAATACTAAAGGTCTTAGACTGGATAATTAAGTACGTGCTACGTAAAGTAGAGTATATAGAGATATCAAAGGACCTCTTCCCACACTCTAGGGGGGTGGAAATGTGTACCTCGAATATTATGTAAGTAAAGTCGTCGGGAAAGTCGTTTCTTTGGGCCCAATTCTCGCTCGGAAATGTCAATATTTTGGCAGAGGGAAAGTCGTTTTAAGGGAAATCGGACGACTTTACAGACGACTTTTTAATGATTTACAAATGACTTTACCGACGACTTTACTGATGCCTTTACCGGTCACGCTTCTGTCACCCCATTTCATACAGGGGGATAAGTTTTGGCAACCGGTGATGCTTCACATGATTGACGAAGGCCATCACGAATGAAACGAATCATCACAGAACATCCTACTCAGAATAGCCTACATGTACATGCCAAACAATGGATCCACCAAAATGAAATTTTATTCCCCAACTGTTACAAGCCCATTGATGCCAGATACCATTTGATGACCCCATCGAAATATTCTATTTGGGGGGACTCAACTATCTCGAGATCTAGAGGGGAGGTTTCATCGGAAAATATTGATTTTCCGGCGGAAAACGGGAAACGCCGGAAACCATCATTTTTTTTTGCATTTAACATGCCTTTAACTGGTAAAGTCGTACATAGAGGTAAAGGCATTAGTAAACTCGTCGGTAATGGGACAGGAATGCCTTTAACACACAGTCGGTCTGTTATTGCATCAAATAATGTGTATCTCGCAACCTTTTGTATGGGAAACGTCGAAATTGATGCATTTCCACTCCTACTAGAGACAGACTGATGCAGCACTGCACTGAACCTCTCCCTTGAAAGGAGCCATACCATTGCTCGAAAGTGGACAGAATACAAACACAACACAAAGTTTCAAAAAAAATACTGTGGTACACGAGTCGTCTCGAACCTATTTTTATTATCAGACTCGAGTCAGCTTGTCATATCCTGGGGCTCATCTCGGCTTACTCGTGAAAGGCTTGAGGGCTCGAGACAGGCTCGAGCCTGCAATATTTTCCCTAAAGTATCAACTGCTAGCTCAACCTTAGTATGAGAAGAAGCATGTTTGATGAAAATGTCTTGTCCATGTATGGACCAATTAGTGTTGGGCACGAGCCGAGCTGACTCGAGCTTTGAGCTCGAATGCCTCAAGCTCTCTTTCATACGAGCCCAAGCCAGCTCGATCCAACATTAGGAAAGGCTCGAGCCTTATCAATTATTAGTGATGGGTTGATTTTAACATCATAATAATAGTGAAAAAATGGGATACCATTATCAAAATAGATCCTCGGACCCCAAAGTTGGTCTTTCAAAACAAAAGTTATCTCGAGATAACCATCATTAGTATAATAATGGAAGTTCAAGCCTGGGCTCGAGGCTAGCTAGGTCCTGAACTCGAATACCTCGAGTCTTTATTCCAACAATCCGAGCCAGCTAGCTCCAAGCCAGGCTCGTCTCCAACAGGCTCGTGCCCAACACTAGGCCCAATGATACAGATTTTGCCCTATTTTTCTGGACGAGCCGGCCAATGTGCTCGAGATGGCTCGAGACCTTGGCTCCAGCCGGCCCGTCTCGTGGACCACACTTTGAAAAAAGCGGAGTAGAAAAAAAAAAAAAAAGAAGATAATCCCGTTCCAAGGTCAAAAACAGCAAAAAGGAGAGGCATCCCGCTCTGCTCCTTCCAACCCAGCTACTCAGTGTTTCCACCATGCCTGGGAGGTAGGCGATTCGAACCGCCGACCTCGGCCCCTCTGGGCGGACACCGTAGCCACTAGGCTACGGCGGATGGTGTGCATTTTTTCTAGTGCGCTTATGGAGGAGTGGCGGTGTGGTGTGTGTTGGGGGCTCGGCACCCGTCCAAAACAGCACACCCGATGACGAAAACCTCCGTCCTCTATCGTACCTCGCTCTTTATGTAACCCCCCGGCCGACCTACACACCACGGAACCGACAACATCGTCAACGCTCCTCTATAGACCAGACTCCCTTCGTACATCCCCCGATTCCAGATCCACGGTGGGATATAGGTTGAATCACAGGCGCTCACTCGCGACAAGACTGCTTGTAGCGTATTGGCCATTTTGATTGATTTGATTGATTGCTTCATTAATTGTATGCAACCCGGGGGGGGGGTTATGACAACTTGAATATAACAAACAGGTTTTCCTCCCCCCAGAACACCCCTTCACCCACCGCCATCTCAACAAACGGAAATATAAGGAAAATAACTGTCACTCTCACTTGAGTTCAGTCTTGGCTGTCTCCCCTTCTCCCATCCGGCCTCCAAACTCTTGCCATATATCGTCCCACCCAATATGTCGCTTAGAACTTCACCGCCACAATAGATATCAAAAATCTGTCAAGAGAAAGGCTAGAGGTAGTGGTGAAGGGGAGATTGTCTGGACAGATTTTTGATATCTATCATGGTTATGAAGTTATAAGAGATTGGGATTGGCCTTTGGAGTTGAATTGCAGCCACGTCCATATGCGGCGTGTCACCTTTAAGACTGGACGCACCACGAGCTATCCAGTAGCTCTCACCACACGCAACCCCCGCAAACCCACCGAGTGACATCCCATGACCCACCACCACCGCCACCGCCAAGCCCCGCCCCAACGCCACTCAACGCGTCCCAACCACACGTCACGCACGCGTCAACCCACTTCAAACTCACCCTCGAAATAGTCACGCCCACCACTCCCACCTCCAAAACTCACCCTCGGAATAGTCACGCCCACCACCACATCACAATCACAATCAATTGACCATGGCCACCGGCCCCAAAAGACCCGGCAACAAGGCCCAGCCCGCCCAGCCCGCCCAGCGCACAATCTCCAGCTTCTTCACGCCCAAGGCCGCCCCCAAGAAGGCCAAAGCGCCATCACCATCCCCCGAGCCCGAGCCAGAGCCGGAGCCGGAAGAAGAAGACTCGCCAGAAGAAGACTCCGACAAGGACCCCGCCTACTCCGAGCCCGAGCCCGACGCAGCGCTGCCCGCCCCGCGCCCCACCCCCAACGCCCGAACACGCACCCGCAGAGCACCGTGGGCCCGGAAGCGTGTGCTGCCCTCCGACGACAGCGACGACCACTGCAGCGCTCCGCCGCCGGCGAAGCGGCGGGAGAGGGCAGCGCCGGGGGTGGAAGAGGTGGAGGAGGCGGAGGTGGAGGCGGACGATGAGAGGGAGTGTACGGTTCTCGTTGTGCCCGCTGCTACGCCGGGGAAGGGGGCTGTGGTGTCGGCGAGGACGTCAAAATACCAGTTTGGGTCGCCTCAAGGGGGGGAGAAGCAGCAGCAGGGGGAGGAGATGGATGTGGATGGGCAGGAAGGGGAGGAGGAGGAGGAGGATGAGGCACAGAAGCGACGGAGGGCGCAGCTGCATCGGCGGTTTGTGCAGAAGCTGGGGAGGCCTGATTCGGTGCTTGATGCCCGCCGCGATGGGGACGAAGAGGAAGACGGCGGCGAGGAGCAGGAAGACGACGAAGACGGCTCCCCGGGCCCCATCGCAAAGAGGTTTGGCAGAGGCGCCAAACCCGCCGCAGCAAAGGGCAAAAAGGCCCGCGCAAAGCTCACCCCGCTCGAGCAGCAGGTCGTGGCCATCAAGCGCCAGCACCCCGACACGGTGCTGCTCGTCGAGGTGGGCTACAAGTACCGCTTCTTCGGCGCCGACGCCCGCACCGCCAGCACCGCCCTCAGCATCATGTGCATCCCGGGCAAGCTGCGCTTCGACGAGCACCCGTCGGAGGCGCACCTCGACCGCTTCGCGTCGGCGAGCATACCGGTGCCGCGCCTGCACGTGCACGTCAAGCGCCTCGTCGCCGCCGGCCACAAGGTCGGCATCGTCCGGCAGCGCGAGACGGCAGCGCTGAAAGCCGCGGGGGACAACAGGAACGCGCCGTTTGTGCGCGAGCTCGCGGAGCTGTACACGAAGGGCACGTACATCGACGACACCGACACCGACACCGCCACCGACACCGACACCATGGACGGCGCCCCGCACACGGGGTACCTGCTGTGCATCACGGAGAAGCCGGGCGGCGGGGCGGGCACGGACGAGAGGTCGCATGTGGGCTTTGTGGCCGTGCAGCCGGCCACCGGCGACGTGATCTACGACGAGTTTGACGACGGCTTCACGCGCAGCGAGATCGAGACGCGCTTGCTGCACATTGCGCCGTGCGAGCTGCTGGTCGTCGGCGAGCTGACCAGGGCCACGGAGAGGATCGTCACGCATCTGGCGGGCAGCACGACGAGCGTGTTTGGTGACGCTGTGCGCATCGAGCGCCTCCCGCGCAGCAAGACGAAAGGGACCGCCATCGCGGCCGCCAACGCGCACGTGGCGGCCTTCTACGCCGGCAAGCTGAAGGCGCGGGGGGCGGGGGCGGGGGCGGGGGCGGACGCAGCAGAGGCGAACAGGCGCCTCGATGAGGTGATGGGCCTGTCGGACCTGGTGACGGTGTGTCTGTCGGCCATGATCACGCACCTGGCCGCCTACGGCCTCGAGCACGTGTTCGACCTCACAAAGTACTTTGCGCCGTTCAGCGCGCGCAGCCACATGCACCTCAACGCAAACACGCTGGCCTCGCTCGAGATCTACCGCAACCAGACGGACAACAGCACGCACGCGTCGCTCTTCTGGGCGCTCGACCGCACAAGGACGAAGCCGGGGCGGCGCCTGCTCCGGAAATGGGTGGGCCGGCCGCTGCTGCAGCAGGAGCCGCTGGAGGCGCGGATCGCCGCCGTCGAGGAGATATTGGCGGGGAGGAATGGGAAGCTGGATCGCATACGGGAGCTGCTGGCGCGCGTGGGGACGGACCTCGAGAAGGGGCTCATCAGGATCTACTATGGCAAGTGCACGCGGCCCGAGCTGCTGTCGACGCTGCTGGCCCTGGAGAGGATCGCAGGCGTGTTTGGGGCGGTGGAGAGCGCGGGGGAGGTGGGGTTTGGGAGTAGGTTGTTGAATGAGGCCGTGGCGGCGCTGCCGAGGGTGAAGGGGGTGGTGGGGGAGTTCTTGGGGGTGATGAATCATCAGGCGGCGGCGAGGGATGATAAGTATTCGTTCTTTAAGGACGAGAGCGGGTATGAGGATATTGTGGAGTATAAGCTGGTAGGTCAGCTTCTGGGTGGTGTTGTGGGGTGGGGGCAATGATACTGACTGGTGGGTGGGTGTAGGGCATTGCGGCGGTGGAGGCAGAGCTGAAGGAGCAACTGACGGAGATTGCAAAGACGCTGAGGAGGCCGAAGGCGACATATGTCTCTGTGTCGGGCGTGGAGGTAATGACCAATCCTCCAAATTTCCCTTTCCCACCCCGCTCTAAGGGGTCAATGATCAAACCCCCCCCCCCCCCCCCCACATTCCCAAAGCCAACCAACTAACCCCCCCCCCCGGCCGCAGTACCTGGTCGAAGTGCCCAACGACAAAACCTCCCTCTCCCTCGTCCCCGCCACCTGGGCAAAACTCAGCGGCACCAAGCGCGTCTCGCGCTTCCACACGCCCACCACCATGCGCCTCCTGCGCGAGCGCGACCAGCACAAGGAGTCGCTCACGGCCGCCTGCAACACGGCCTACGCCTCCCTCCTCGCGCAGATCGCAGCGCACTACCACCCCCTCCGCGACACCCTCACCGCCCTCGCCACCCTCGACTGCCTCTTCTCCCTCGCCACTGTCGCAGCACAGCCAGGCTACTGCAAGCCGACGTTCACAACCACGCCCACCATAGACCTCGTCGATGCGCGCCACCCGATGATCGAGAAACTGCTCAACGCCCCATACATCCCCACCACTACGACGCTGTCGACAGACGCAACCCGCGCACTCATCATAACAGGCCCCAACATGGGCGGCAAGTCCTCCTACCTGCGCCTCCTCGCACTAACCACAATAATGGCGCAGATCGGCTCCTACGTGCCCGCGGCCGCGGCGCGCCTCGGCGTCGTGGACGGCGTGTACACGCGCATGGGCGCGCGCGACAACATGATGAACGCCGAGAGCACGTTCATGGTCGAGCTCACCGAGACCGCGGCGATCCTGAGGAGCGCCACGAGCAGGAGTCTCGTCGTGCTGGACGAGCTCGGCAGGGGCACGAGCACGTGTGATGGCGTCGCGATTGCGGGGGCCGTGCTGGAGTATGTGCTGGGCATGGGGTGTTTGTGTCTGTTTGCGACGCATTATGCGGCGCTGGCGGGGCGCGCGGGGAGAGGGGTGGTGGGCGGGGTGGGGGCGCGGTATATGAAGTTTGCGGAAGCTGATGGTGAGTTCTTTCTTTCCTTTGCTGTGTTTGGGGGGGGGGGGGGGGGTGCTAATGGTGTGAATGGGGGGACAACAGACGGCAGCGACGACATCACGTTCCTCTACGAGCTCGGCGAGGGCGTGGCCAGCCGTAGCTATGGCCTTAATGTCGCGAGGCTCGCGGGGCTGCCGGAGAGGTGTCTGGCGGTGGCGAGGCAGAAGTCGGCAATGTTGGAGGCGGAGATGAAGGAGCGGGAGAGTATGGGCTGGTAAGCACTTCTTTCTTTGGGGGAGGGGGTGGCGGATGGGGGCTAATGACAAATAGGGCGAAAGCGGTGCTCGCGGCGGTGAAGGGGGGGGAGGGGTTCGATGCGGAGAGGCTGCTGGGAGCGGTGGAGTATTTGTAGTGCGCGGGGGTGTGTATTTTTACTAGCAGGGGGTAGTGGGAGGGGGAGGGGGAGGGGGCGGGGGTGTAGTAATAATAATACTATTAGATGGGTATAAATGCGAATACAGACACTGCTGATACGACCAGTATTGTTTTGTTCTTTGAGTGACGTTCTAATAGATGATTGAGAGGGCCAGCGCAGCTAATGCTAGTAGTCTTGGCGCGAGTGAGCGCCCGTGATCCAATCTACCTACATACATCCGTGAATCTGAAGTTGGGTCTGTAAGTACGAAGGGGGTCGACCTGCGGTCGGGTATGGCAACGCTACCGATGTTGTCGGTGCTTTAGTAAGGCGACGTCGAGGTTGTCGTGCGCCGACGTGCTATTTTGGACGGGTGCCGAGCCCCTAACACACAACACACCGCCACTGCTCCATAAGCGCACTAGAAAGAATACACACCATCCACCGTAGCCTAGTGGCTACGGTGTCCGCCCAGAGGGGCCGGGGTCGGCGGTTCGAACCGCCTACCTCCCAGGCACGGTGGAAACACTATGTAGCTGGGTTGGAAGGAGCAGAGCGGGATGCCTCTCCTTTTTGTTGCTTTGGACCTTGGAACGGGGTTTTCCTTAACTCTATTTTCTTTAACTTTGTCATGTGTCTACTTTCGAGTAGTGTGGTCCACGAGGCATTGACGCTCGACGTCTCGTCTCGAGGCCTCTGCCTCGGGAGAGCTCAAAGCATGGGGATCCGCAAGGCGAGCATGCTTGAGGAAAACTCTCTTTCTCGCTTCGAGGTGCTCGAGGTTTGAGTAATTATAGCATTAGTAGCATATATCCAGTGGGATTGAGGTTTCTGAATTGTCGATTAGTACTGATAGGGAAATTAGAAGTATGGTGCGCCCAGTCTTAAAGGTGACACGGGGGCATACTTATGGAAGTGGAACAATCGCGCGTGGGCTGCAATCTGACTCCCAGGCCAACAAGAGGGCCTACCTATTTTCTAGCCAGCTTGGTGCCTCACTGCCACGGCTCAGGCAGGTTTGCTTTGTGAGGGGCCGGGGGTATAAAATGGGTATATGATACTGTTCCACTCCATTCATGCGCTTTGCGCCCTTTTTACATACAAAAAACAGCCATTTTCAATCTTTTATAACTTCATGACCATGATAGATATCATAAAAATCTGTCTTCTTCACTACTGTTTTCTAGCCGTTCTCTTGATATCTATTGTGGTGGTGAAGTTATAGTAAGCGATTGACTTTCCGTCACTTTTGGTTACCTTTAAGATCAGGGGCACCATACCATACGTATCCCAGCCTGCCCCCCCCCCTCCCCCCCCCTTTTCGTTATATTAGAACCTTTAATTGCGCAAAGGGCTCGATTCTCGATTGGTAATACTACGTAGAGCTAGCTAGGTGTTCCCGTTCATCTTGGCAAGGTTTCAGATTATCCCCCCCCCCCCCCCCCCCCCCTTTCCCCCACTATGTAGACTCTTACAGTCTACCCAGCACCCCTCCACCGTGCCTGCTCCTAAACCTCCGAGATCTAGCACCCGTACCTCCTCGCTACATGTAGCTATAAGCAGTACGCAACCAACCCAATAACCCCGGCCGGGTCACGTCATGCATCAACAATTGAAAAAAAAAAAGCCACCCCGCCGCCGCCAAGCCGCGCCGAGTGATACCCCGTGATCCAGTATGTTCAGAAAAAGTATTGTGGCCGGGGAGCTAGCTAGCTAGATACCTGGTGGTTTCGTGAGCCAGATTACGTCTCGCCACAATCACGCCCCCAGCTGGGGGGGGGGGCTGAGGGGGCTGGGGGGGATATGGATATGGATTTAGAGGGGGCGGGCACACCAGTCCAAAACCGTGCCCGCCCTGCATGAATCGTTGCAGATTTTGCTGTTTTTCACATAGGATGGGGGAGCTTGGGGCGGGCGGGCTAATAGCTGGCTGGCTGGCTGGCTTAACCCGACTGACTACTAGCTAGCTAGCTAGCTACATGTATAAGTAGCTAGAGTGTTTTAATAGTGAAATGGCATAACGCACCATCTCCACACCACACCATCCCAGGCTGCAAATAAACCACATCTATAATAAAAAAGAAAAACAATCAATTGCTCTAAATACGGTATCCTACACTCCCCTTTCCTATCTACCTACCTACCCTCCCTCCCTCCCTCCCTCCCTCCCCCGCCCCTCCTCCCCTCTACAAAACCGAGATATTAATAATCTTGACATCCTCCTCCGGCTTCTCCTTGAACGTGCGCACATTCTCAATCTTATTCACCACATCCAGGCCCTGTATCGTGCGGCCAAAGATGGTATGCTTCCCGTCCAGCCACGGCGTCTTCTCCGTCGTTATGAAGAACTGGGATCCGTTCGTATCTATCCACCACCCCCCACATTAGCATCTCCCCCCACACACCCTTCACCCCACACAAACCAGAAGGGAAGATAACTCACTAGGCCCCGCATTCGCCATGCTCAGCGTATACGGCTTATCATGCCTCAGCGTCGAAAACTCATCCTCAAACTCGCCGCCCCAAATGCTCTCGCCCCCCGTCCCATCCCCACACGGGTCCCCGCCCTGAATCATAAACTTGCGAATCACCCTGTGAAAGATGGTCCCATTATAGTACCCGTTCCTTGCGTGCGTGACAAAGTTCTCCACCGTGCGCGGCGCAGCCTCGGGAAACAGCCGCACATGGATATCGCCCATACTGGTATGAATCACGGCCGCCTTCCCGCTCTCCTTCGGCGCCGCGTCGGCGCCCGCCGCGCCCGCGGCGGCACCCGCAGACAGCAGCGGCTTCTCGTTGAGGATGTCGCGGTCTGTCTTTGACGCGGATGCGTCGTTGGTGAAGATGTAGAAGCGCGGCTTTGCCGCGGCCGTGCAGAAGAGCATGGGATCGCGGGACTCGGCCTCGGAGAGGAGCGGGTTCGCGGAGGCGGCCATCTCGACGGTGACGAGGTCCTTCTTGTTGGGCGCGCCCTGGTAGAGCGCGATGTTGAGGGGGCGCAGCGGCTCCTCTTTGCCGAGGGTGCGGACGACGGTGTTGGTTGTTGTGTTGAGGACCTTGATGCCCGCGAGGGAGCCGTAGAGGATGAAGTGGCCCGACTCGTCGAAGACGATGTTGGCCTTTGAGAGGTGGGTTGTTGTGAGCGGGGTGGGCGGGGTGGCGGAGGTGGTGGCGGGCGAGGAGAGGTCGGTTTCGAGCGCGATGCGCCGGCCGAATTCGATGTCGGGGAGCTTGGTGGCCGCGGGCGCGGCTTGCTGCATGGTTGTGAGGGTGGACACGGATTCGTCGTAGGTGCGCGTGAGGCGCGCGCTGGGGAAGTCGAAGATGCGGATCTGGCGGTCAGGGTGCGAGAAGGTGGCGAAGGACTCGTGCGTGGGTGAGATTGTGAGGGACGTGGGCACGGATTTGGCCTGTGGTTTTCTGTCAGCTGTGTGTGTCTGTCTGTAGGGAGAGAGGGGTCAATGATCGGAAGGTAGCAGTATAGAGACGCACCCTCTTGAACTCAAACAGCCCCGTGTTGCTCTTGTACTCAAACACGTTATCGGGCTTCTCAAACTCGCGCTCCGGCCGCGGCGACCAGTACTCGACCATGCCGCTCTCGTCGCACGACACCACGCAGTTGTACTTGTCGTTGAAGGCCATGAGGTGCACGATGCTGCGGTGCATGTGCTCGACCGTGTACAGCACCTTCGGATTGTCGCCCCGCCCGTCGTAGATCACAATGTGCGGGCTCACCACGTCCGAGACCGCCAGCAGCGGCAGCGAGGACCCGCGCCGGTGCACCCAGCAGATGGCCTTTGGCGCATTTGGCAGCGTGATGGTCGTCAGCAAATCTACAACACCCCCATATTAGCCCACTGCCCCCTTCCCCTTCCCACCCACTCCCCACACACACAACCACCCCCTTCAGAAGGCACCTACCAAACGTCACCACATCAAAGATCGCGACCCTCCCGTCCACGCCCGCCGACGCAAAGCTGCGCCCATCCGTGCTCACCGCCACACCCACAATCTCCCCCTGGTGCGCGCGGAACATCTTCACAAACTCGATGCCCACCGCCATCTTCTTCCAGAACTTGACCACGCCGTCGACGCTCGTCGTGATCAGGAAGTCCGTGAACGGCGTCATTGTCACGAACGCGAGGTGGTCCCGGTGCATGAGCGACTTTGAGTACCGCGGCGCCGTGGGCAGCGCCGCGAGGTACAGCTTCTCGTGCGGCAGCGTGCGTCGCTTCTTCTTGGTTACGGCGCCGCCGGCGGGGGGCAGCGTCGGGCCGATGTCGTCGTCCGAGGAGCTGTCTGTGGGGCATATGTGTTAGCTAGTGTACGGCATTCGCCGGCCGGGGGTTGTGGCCTACCGTCTTCGGCGTCTGCGGAGGCCTCGGGGGTGGGCTTCTTCTCTGCTGCCGGGGGCGCGGGATTGCTGTCGGTGCGGACACGCTTCCTGGCACGCGTGCCGGCGTCTGAAGCTGATTCGTTCTCGGAGGCCATTGGGGGGGGGGGGGGAGTTGTGAGTGGTGAGGGTTTGTTTGGGGGGGGGGGGGGGGGGGAAGCTGTGGAATTTGTGGTTTCTCGGGGGTGTCGAGCGTGTTGGTTGACGTGACTTTGTTCTGTGGCTGGGGCCAGCTAGTTAGCTGTGCACAAGCCACTCGATGTGCATGAGCCGCACTCGATATTTATCTTATCGGGAGAGAAAAGAAGTTATTTACCTGCACTGCTGCAGACATTGGACTTTTCGACACCCACGCTCATATTCAGTATTCAGCACACACCTCCACCACACATCTTCACCACCCACAACCAACCAACCAACCAACCAAACAAACAAAGGCTTCAAAATGGTCTGTCCCCTCCCCTTCCCCCAATGCTCCCCCCTCCAATTGCAAACTAACCCACCACCCCCCCCCCCCCCCCCAAACAGGCACCCACAAAACCCAGCAAACGGCCCTCCCTCCGCGCCCGCACCTCTCGCCCCACCACCACCACCTCCTCCACAGCTACCACCACCAGCACCCCCCGCACCCCCCACCAACCCACCAAAAAGGCCAAACTGCACACCCGCCGCACCACCTTCATCTCCCGCATCACCAAGCCCACCACGCACCCCTCCGCCCGCTCCCGCCGCCGCGCCACAAAAGCGCTACAAAACACCCTCGTCACCGAGCTCGACTCGCTCGCGTTCGCGCTCGACGACGCCATTGTTGCAAAGTCCGTGGCAGAGGGCGAGGATGGCGTGGGCAGGAAGAGCATGAAGAGCCGCCCCGGCGCAATGAAGCGCAAGGAGAAGGTGGTCAGGAACGAGTGTGAGCGGTTCGGGAAGAACTTGGCGATCATGTCGGCGGGGATGGCGGCGGCGGCGGTTGCGGTTGGGGGGGAGGGGGAGGGGGAGGGGGTGGGGGTGAGGAGGCCGTCGACGTGGGAGGCGTTGAGGGGGTTTATTGAGGGGACGATGGAGCGGAAGGAGGAGTTTGTGAAGAAGGATGAGGGGGAGGGGGAGGAGATGGTGTTGTAGATAGTGGGGCTGGGGGAGAGGGGGGGGGAATAAAAAGTTCTGTTTCTGGGTTTTTTTATGGGGTTTTTCTTTTGCTCTTTCTTTGTGGTATATTCGAGGTCTCATGTAACAAACAGTGTAGTGGTTCTTCTCTCCGGGGTATGTGAATCCCGGAATCCGTAAAGCTGCTACAAGCTAGCACCACAGCATAGCACCATCCGCCCTACTAAAATCGACGTTCGACCTATCACAACACAGCGAGTGATACACAATGATTCCCCCACGCGGCCATCCCACACCCCCCAAGTCAAGTCATATCCCATCACTCGACCCTAACCCAGCCACACCACCATGCGTCGAATGGCGATACGTATTTACCAGCCACATTCCGCAGAGGGATCTAGCTGCCCGCGCGTCTGGTTGGTGCGTACATTGCATACCTTGTGGTTGAAGCCACCTGCCGGGTCCTCAGCTCTGCTGACACATCTGCTTTCTTCCACCATCAGCACAAGCCAGCTGCAGGGCCGATACGTATCACACCGGCCGGCCGCCGAGGACGCCCATCTTATAACACAAAAAGCACGGCTCCATATCACCGGCTTAGCAAGCTCTAGAGCTGGTAGTGCACTTGTTCTCCTTATGCTTTAACGCCTTCGCTTGCGGCTGTCATTGTGGGGGGTGATCGTGTGGACCGCGGTGTTTGATTCCGCGGTATACGTAACGTATGCCTTTTTTCTTCCTTCCCTCCTAGTGGGTGGTGTTTCAGCCCTCCAAAGTACTGCGGCAGAATTACAAAACGTCGGTTACTACTCCGCCGGCCCGACAGAAACTCTGGGCGTGAATATGCGGTGTGGTGACGTGACGGATGGGGTAGTGTAGCTATTGGATGTACTGCCCGCTCGCGTTGTGCTGTGCTGTGCCACGGAGTGATGCCTGGGGGGGCGAACGTGGGCACCCGCAAAAGCAGAGATTAATTAGCATGGGTGGATCATGGAGTGTCACTCGATCAGTAGACCAACAGATTCCCGCAGACTTGTTCGTAGTTGGTCGACAGACTTCTGGAGTTGCCCGGACTCATGTTCTCGGGGTGAGATGCACGAGTGAAGCATAGCCATTGCGTTGTGTGAGGGATTGGAGCAAAGATTAAATTAGAATGAGTTCAGCTTTGCTGAACCGCTGTATTAGAGTGAATAAACAATTATAATTCCGAGTACTTCATACAGCGCTGCCATTGCTTAGTGCACTGTGTGTATAAAATTAAAGCCAAAGAACAAAAATAAACACCCAAATTAACCAAACAAAAAGCAGGATCATCACCACATCACAAACCATAAAAACGAGAAAGAAAAAAACCCCTCTCAAACAAAGTCCCCCAGACCAAAATAACCACCCCCAAACCCACCCCCCCACCTCACCACCCAGTACACCCCCAACAGCACATACCCCACCACCAAGCACGCATACGCACCCACTCAAAACCCTCCCCCCAGAGCCCCTCCCCCTCTCCCTCTCCCTCCCCAACCCCTCCTCCTCCCCACCCCAATCCTCACCAGCATCTAAAACCTCCTCCCCGCCTGCGCCCTCCTCCGCACCTTATCCTCCTCGATATTCCTCAGTATCCTCTCCCGCTCCCTCTTAGCCGCCTCACGCGCCCTCCTCTGCTCCGCAAGATACTTGAGCCGCTCCGGCGACGGTGCTGCGGGCGGCGGTGCCGGCCCCTGGAAGGGGCGTGCTGGCGGGCGGCCTCCGTTTGCTGGAGGTTGGGTTGCTCTAGTGTTGAGGGGTGGTGCAGGAGGCTGGTTTGCTCTGGGCGGCGGGTTGAAGAGTGGCGGCGGGCCTGCTCGAGTGTTGGAGAGTGGTGGCTGGCCTGCTCTGAAGCCCGGGAACAACGGCGGCGGCGGCGGCTGGCCTCGGCCAGAGGTGGGGTCGAGGACGACGAAATCAGCGGGTGGGAGGCGCCGCGCGAAATCGAAGGGCTGGGCGCTGCTTGAGCCTGGCTGGGGTGGGGGGTTGGTGGGTTTGTATAGCTGGGCTTTGCCAGGGGGAGGTGGTGGTGGGGGGGTGGGCGCTGGTGGGGGAGCGGGAGGAGCGGGTGGTTGGGTGTGTTCGTGGTGGCGGCGGCGGATCGCGGCGAGTTCGGCGAGGAGGGGGTTTGTAGCTGACATGGTTGTGGTGGATCGATAGCTGCTTGAGTTTGTAGATTGTGGGGTGTCTAGTGGTATAGAAGGAAGGAGGTGGGATAGCTGGATATTGTATGAGCAAGTGAAGAGCGGTGGTGGGTGTGGACTCTTGAGACAAGGCGTGTGTGGGGTTTATAACGGGCCAGCTATAAGCCACAGCCATCCCAGCCATCTCCAGCTCAGCAAATCACACCTTGAAATTCTATGCCCAACCCCCTAGCTCGACGAGTTTGTATCACGCCCAGCTTCTGGAACAGAGGAGATTCAGGGAGGCGGTGGAGCATAGAATGTGTTCCCTACGTGCCTTGAAACTTCTGGGTGCTCTGATAGGCTACTATACCTCTGCTCTTCTGATGCGTCAGGTGGCCGGCTGGGTTACAAGATTTGATGTATGTGTTACTGCGTCGAGTGTGTGTGGGTCATGGGATGTCACTCGCGCGGTTTGGGCGGGGGTAGGGGTTGGTTTTGTGGTTTTCGGGAATGGCCTTCTGGGCGTGAGATAATATACGAAGCGTGAGTAGTATATAGTGGTATCCATGTGAGTCATGATGTCTGGCCGAGATCTAGTGTAAACTACAGGACTTGAGTGCACTGTAATTTTACCACGAGAACAGTCTAGGTAACTCCAGAAGCCTACTCGGTAGCCAACTCTGAGCATGCAACATAGCAGTGACTGTGGGGTTTGATAATCTATTGGTTGAGTCTCACGCTTAGATTGCACTTGTGCACTGCTGCCCGAGTTGGGTGTGCGCGTTTTTGATCGAGGTGTCGAGCTATAGGGAACTGGAACCAGCTGAGACTTTTCTTGAGTATATTTAGGTTGGGTGAAAAGGGTTGAAAAAGACTCGGATGAGACAGACCCAGGTACTTGGAAACCATGTCTCGTGAGGTCATGATCGAGTGATTATCCATGACCAACTCATACTAATCTCTCACTTTCCAACGTCTCCAATTCGTATGCGAATTGGGGAAGACCCGGTCAAAACAAGTCAACCACTCTTCTATATATAAATGCTCGTCTTTTCTTTCTCATATTGGTACCATTATTTCTATAGTCCTGCTGCCGACCGTACTATTTACTTCGTACAACCATGTCCAACAAGTAGGGCCCCGCGGGTCGTTTGTAAAACTGCTCCAATCTGATTAGTAGACTTCCTTATACGTACTAGTAGTTTGCTATCCAATTAATTCTAAGGGATTCTTTATGCGCACTAGTATTAGCAAGGTCCGCAAGGTTTATTAGGGGCCTCGATCCCGTGGTTGAGCGGGTGATCATCTAGACGTCGCACTATAGCCTGCAGCTCTCTTTTCTTTCGCACCCTTAATACAATTACATACACAAACGTACCACTGCATTTTAGCAGCTAGGAGGGGGGTGATGATTCCATCGACCACTAGAGTCGTCGAAATGCTACAATGCTGGCGAATTAGCCAGAATTGGAAGGCTTTTTCACTTAATCATGACTGTGTACCGTCTCAAACCCGATACCGATACTCCTCTAGCTCTCTCTATAAAGTACTCCATTCTTGCTTGTGTTAAATTGTGAAACGGGGGTATGTAGATACTCAACAGGGCTGAGGCCCCTTGAGGTAAATAGGTTTTTCACATTGCCCTGTGGGCTTCACCGCACCGTACTCTAGAGTGAGCTGCCTGTCATTGAAATTGACCCCTTCTATGGATAATGTAGCTGTTCACTTCTTTGTATTTGCGCACCATGTGTAATATGGTTTCCGACATACCATGCACATGGTCTTCCTCCATGGAAATGTCTTCTTTCCTACCCTAGGCCTGTGGGATGTATATATCATAGCTTGGTTAACAGTTGTCCGCACCGCCTTGGTCTACATATATACATATACCTAGCCCTTTAATTGTGAGCTAGATAGTGACAAGTTGTGGACCCTTCACTCCGACTTAGCTTTTGGCACCATATTTTCTGCGCCACCCAGAGATAGTAACTCAAGTTTTATAGCCTTCACAAGGTATCACTCGGTGACCTACCACACTCCTGGCCAACTAATAGACATTATACCAGCACAGAGTCACATAAAACAAACAAATGGCTGAAGTTCAAGTCATGATATCAGCTCAAATTCATTAATATACATCAGGTTGAGGGCTTAGGCAGCTAGCTAGGCAATGAAGAAATGAGTGTAACAACGACGAAAAACACTTTTGATGGATTAAGTACCCTAACAGCCTACAGAAAAGTAGGGAGAAAAGGGTAAGAGAAATATAAGAAGGGAACCTTCTTTTCGTGACAGCCATGCGCCAGTATGCGGCACAGTTCTACGCCCCGAACCTGCCCCCCCCAAAGCACTCACACACCACCATATCAATACCACAAACATAACTCAGATAACCTGAGTCTTCAACCAGACGACCCCTTCACCTCTCCACCCACAATCTTTCATCATCACACCACACTCCACCGCATCATCATAATACCAACTCTTCGGCCTCCCTTCCTGGCCTTCCCAAACCACCTGAGATAGGCAGAACCACCCTTCAACTTCGTGGCAAGCCACGACCTCAAACACCCTGGCCAGCCTAGTATCCTCCCTGACCCACAAGGTCACGAACCTAGTGTCCGGGTCATGAGGACCTTCGCCCCAGGTCAAACCAATATTGACAACCCACCATTTCCCCTTCTCGAGGCCGCCAGCCATCGGAAGGCACAAATGGGCCCTCTGGAGATAGACGAGAAGATTCCAGACGCACCACCTGACGCTCTGGACGCTACTGGCGAAGAACTCGTGCCTCCTGATGCCATTGGTATTGCTGTTGCTACCGTCGGTGTCGCTACCGGGCCTGTGCTGCTCAGTGTACCATTGGACGATTCCACGTGAGGAGACGAGATGGTACCGCTGACCGCGAGAGTAGAAATCAACAGTGAAGAGCGGAGTGATGGGATGGCTCGGGTGCTGGAGATGCAGCTGAGCAGAGGTATCGGAACGCTCGTGAATGAGGTTGTTGTTGACAAGATCATGGAGATCCTGGGGGGCACCGTGGGTGGGGGAGGTATAGATGACGATGTAATGAGTGAGGGTTTTATCGGCGGTGATGCGGACATTGACGGGTGTGATGGATGTGGTGTGAATAGGCGGAGTGGGAGTAAGGTATGGCATTTTGATAACGTGTGAGATTCTATGATGATGATGATAGTGTGAGCTTCGATGTTTGAAGTGGGAAGGCGGGAGTTATGATGGGAGGCGGTGAGAGGAATAGGAGGGATGGGAGTTGATGAGAGGAATGAGAGGAGTGAGAGGAGTGATAGGAGTGGGAGGAGTGAGAGGAATGAGAGGAGTGAGACGAATGAAAGCTGATCTTTTAGGATCCGGAATCTTCACGTCGCACGCATTGAAGGAGTGGCGAGTGACAGGAGGTGATTTCACGATTGGGGCCTCTCAACAATGAGTGGACCTGTAAGGAGACTGCGGGGGCAGCACAGGTACCTATCAAGCTCCTATTTGCTTCCACGAGGCTTAAGATATCCAGAATGTAGGTCATTATGTCGTTATTTTCTTCTTACTGTATTGGTGGTTGGTTGGCAACGACTATTCCTCTTTTGCTTGTGTCAATGATTTCGTAGTAGGAAACTAGTTATAGTCAACACGTGATGCAAACATACTTGGCTTGAAATAGTAAAGGGCATAGGATTTATATAAAGTGATGAAGAGCAAATAAAATAGGATATTACGGCCCCATCAAAAGGTTTCCCGAATATCATTGATTTCATAATGCACTTTCCCTGTATCAATGATTATTTAGAATTTTATAACGCTATAGTAAAATGGAATCTCTCTATTCGTAGGTGACCCCAAAGCTCAATGACGACAACCCAAATCTCTTTTATTTGTTTGAAACAGCCAGATTTATATCACTTCAACTGAACAATCAATAATTCAAATCAATTATTTTCGTTGCCAAAATCCCCTTAACGGTTTGAGAGCGCTTCTTATGTGATTTCGCACAGTATAAGTATGGAGCTCAAGATGCTCGTTTATTCAAGTCTATGGTACAGTATTTATGCTATCGTGGGCCACCTCTTCCGTTGCGGCTATGGCCATAACCGCACCCGCGCTTAGGGCCACCTAATGCTACCGTGCTAAGCGAAGGTAGCTGCACGAAGGCATACGAGCTGTGTATTTATTTACACAACAGCGCTGGCTGACCGTCCTCAAGTTCGCAAAAAGCGAATTGTTTTAGAACGCGGTCATCCAAGAACTCTCCCCACCGCTATTACACACCCACCCGCTTCTACTCTCACATAGCCCGCACGCCTCAAATCCTCAGCGTCCCTCTAACGCAATCCCTCAAGCCAGATACCCCGAGCATATCCGCCCTCACAACCCCAGGTCTGCATTTACTCAACCAGGGTGTCATTCCTAGACCGGCAATGCCAAGAAATTGTTTTTTTCACGGAAATGCTGTTTCACATTGCTGCATTGGCCCGCATATATATAATTTTCGGTGAAAACAGGGTTTTGTGTTGGAATGCCGGCACCCGTTGTAGAAATTGCCTGTTGCCGCTCGCGAAAGGAAACGATGCGGGGCGGAGTTTCAGGGCTGCCATACTCCTGTTTAGTAGGGGGTCTTCACATAATCTTCTGGCTTGATAAGCTGAAGAATTTCGTAAAAACTCTTTTTCGTTGGTTAGGTCAGTTGGCTATTTTTTTTTTTTTTTTTTTACCAAAGAACGCACTCATATCGAAAGTTTTGAAAGTAATGAAAAAATGAAACGGTATCACCTAGACCCTCTCCCACAGCTCCCTACAGCGTATAGCAACGTGTTGCCTGTCCGTGTAGGAGTTTACAGGTGGATTGTACTACCGCTCGAGCCTTTCCCTGTGCGCAGAAAAAATCAACAAATCCAGGATCTGGATCCACCGAATACCTTACCTTTGCTTCAATCGCACCTGTCTCCGGAGAGAAAGAGGGGAGAAGCCTGTTAAATGAAAGTAAACTTCCCTAATATTTGTATCCCACAAACGGACCGTCACCCTGCTCCACCACTGCCGCCGTTGCCTTATCACCTCCCTCTTTCTTGATCACAGTATCTAACCACTCGAGTAGCGGCCTATATTTGGTCTGCTTCCTGTAAAGCACCTTCTTAAACGCTTGTGCACCTAGCCATCGAACCTGGCTTCTCCCCACTGTGCACTTGAAGTTGCCCTTTTGTAGCCTGTTGTACGCAAGCTCCAGCAGTTGTGATGTGATCTTGATGAGGAGGTTCTGGCCGGGAGACTTTGGTCCCCGCAATGAGGCGGCGGACCGGTATAGTTTCATGGCGGCTTCGGTGAAATTGTGATAGATGTTGGAGAGGACGGTATGGGTGCTGTTGAGCGTACTGTCAAAATACATTGGGTGTGCCTGCATTTTGAAGGCGCTAAAGGAGGTTAGTTAGATGTAGATAGGAAGTAGGTATAAACTCTTACCCAATTGCTTTGCGTTGAAGGGCTCTGCCGGGATTTTTAGAATACTCAACTGTGAGGAGATCATTTACATCTACACATTTTGTTAACAACCTCCTTTTATCTCCCCAACTATGCCCTAGAACTTACTGGTTTGAGTTTTTCCGCCTCTATCCTTCCTAATCTCTAATGTCCTCGTGTTGAGAAGATTACCGCAGTACGGGAACTCTTCGGTATCTAACAATCTGGCCACCTTCCTCCCGCCCACACTAGTCTCAAAGTTGACCAACGTTTTCTGCACACTCACGAAAGCCCCGTACTCCGGCATCCCGCCATGCATTACCTCTAGAAACTTTTGTGCCTTCTCGCGCTTTGGCGTAATGTATAAAAAGTCGTCCACAAGCCTCATCAGAATACCGTCATCTTCAAATGCAAAGGAGAGTTTCTTGTTCTCTAGATCGCCGTAGAAGAAGTTGCACAATATACTCGACAGTACAGACCCTTGTGGGATCCCATTCTTCTGTCGGTAAAATTTCTTCCCAATCTTGACGATGTTCCTACGGACATGCTCCTCAAGCAGATCTAGTAAGGAGTTGGAGTCCCGAAATTTGTGAACGACATCGTCGACGAAGACGGTTTCGCTCATGCCTCTACGTTTGACCTCAGCTTGTGCAAAGTCAGCGAACCGGTTGACCTCTCCCGGGAGCTGGGCTTTGGCTATGAAGCGGCGGATAGGCTTTTTGCTGCTTATGGAAGCCGGAGGGCGAATTTCGGCGTGCTTTTCGAGGCGGTATTCGGGCTCGGTAATGATGGATTCGATAAGCTTTATGAGTGCGCCCTGCGGAATGGTATCAAAACAGGCGGTAATATCAACTTTAACGAAGAAGAGCTTCGGGAGGGTGGACCTGGTGGTGCGAAGACGTTCTTGGAAGGTTTTGATGCGGGAGTAAATATCACCGACGGAGAACATAGCGGCTCCGAGCTTTTCGGCTTTGCGAGACTTTTCGAATACCAACACATTATGGACAGGTTTTAAAATTGTGTTAATACTCGGAGCCAATACTTCTTTCCCTTTGTGCTTGTCCTGTTCAGGATCAGCATTCAAGCATCAAAAATCACTCGCTCGTCAACAGCCCCACAATGACTCACCTGCTGTAAAACCCTTCTCTTCAGGTTCATGACCGGCCTCACGCCATTGACCTTCGGTAACAGCCGTACCTGTGCATATCCTAACGCTCTCTGGCCCAATATCTTTTTGGCTCTCTCCACCTTCAGCTCTTGGAATGTGTCAGTCTTGAGCCTGATCAGCGCCGGTTCACTGATCTTCTTCCATACATCATGCCGGAAGTAGAACAACCTATTGCGTTGTGCGTTGCTCTCAGTGATGTAGAAATGGAACCGTAATAGCGGGATCAGGAATGAATCAAATAGCCAGAACAAGAACTCAGCCAGGATCTGCCGGCGCTTCTGTGTGTCTGACAAGCAGAGCTTTGCGGAAGGGGAGGTTCCAGCGGGACAAAGCCACGGGAACTCGGTAAGCTTCAGACCCTGCATGATCTCATGGAGTGAATAGCTTTCGTAGCGTCGTAGCTTGACGAATTGGTCGACGTTAGACATAATCAGCTTCTTATTGCCATCTCCTTTGCCCCAGAAATCACGAGGGATCACTTTAGAGATGACAGCGCGGGCAAAGGCCGAGACCTCGACGTTAGACGAGGCGAAGTCCGTGAATGCCTCGCCTGCCTCGCCTGCCTCGCCTGTCTCGCCATCCTTGACGATCTCCTCGCCAGACTTGGGGGGTGGTGAAGGCCCGAAAACCACCGGTATCTCTGGAGTGGCCTGGGTGGCGAGCTTATTATCACTGCGGGTGGTTGAAAGGTTATTGGTTGGAGCTGCGGCGGTGACAGGCTTTTGAACGACGCCATCACAGAGCTATTTATAAACCGACATATGTATCAGCCACTGCCTGTCAAGGAGGTGCATATCAAATTTACCTTGATTGGACAGTGGTATTTCACAAGTGCATGATAAGAGCATCGCTTATGCAATTTCTGCATTCTAGCCACCAACCCAAACACAGTCCCTCTCAATCTCTTTGGGACGCTAAGAACTTCAAGCTTACCACTCAGAGCAGCAACAGCAGCGATCTCCTTTTCTCGTATTGTGTAGTCTTTGAGTGGCTGCACCGTCTCCCGCCTGTCAACAACAGAGGTGAAGGCATTGTGGAGATTGAATTGACGGGGGAAGATATATTTCAATATCTGCACCGTGTGGGAATTCACCGATGGGTCGGGGAAGCGGTTCAGGACGTCTATAATTAATTAATTATTATTTTGATTTCATTTTTTGTTTGTTTTGGTTTCGATTTTTCGAGATGTGGGCCAGTTAGAATAATGTAACGGCGAGGTGAAATAAAGTGCTGTTTATGAGGATTTGCAATTGGGTATATATGACGCTGGTTCCACAAGCTTTTGGAGGTTACGTTGTGGGATGGGTTACACGTGATACCGTGCGGCAAGACAGAAAAAGCAAAACAGCGGATGAGGAGAAAAGGAAAAGAAGGAGAAGAAGGAGAAGAACACACGGATATGACGTAAGCCAAATTCGACCTCTCCACGGCCGTTGTAAGCCGGCTTTGAATAAAACATTCGAGATCGTACAAAAATGATCTCTCCCGGCGTCCTCAAGTCTCGCTGTACCACGGTTGCATTTTTACTTGCATTCGGTTTGTTATTACATGTATTATTACATGTTTTTGCTACATGTGGTTCTTGTTTACCGGAATGCAAACGTTTTACACCACTCTTGCTATCATTGGTAATAGCGGGAGTGGTTGTACCGCTACGGTTAGTAATATTGGCGGTATTGGTAAGTTTAAGACTTTCGGCGGCAGCGGGACGAAGACGGTTCGGCCTAATCTTCTTGTCGATGTTCTTGGCGCCCGCACCTTCAATTTCCGACAAGCAGCGTTTCAAAGGTGCACCAGCACCAGCGGGACGGGTGCTACTAGTGTGAAGTGGTGGTAGTGCTGGCTGTGCTACCGGGTTGTTTAAGAAATCCGAGAGTGATGGCCCTAAAATGAGTGAAAAGAGGTTACAGTCTTGATAACGCATAAACCGGCGCCGTGGGTGAAAAAGGGGACAAGAAACTTAGAATACAACAGAGGAACCGAAGTCGGGTATCGGATGACTTGCATACACAGATAAATATAAATCATAACCGAATGGGGAAGTTGTAAGAAATAAAGAAAAAAAAACATAATCGTGATGAAAGAAAAAAAAACTCGATTCATTTACCGAAACGTAACTATGTGACCAGACCCTCCCTAGTATTGGAAGGATCATTAGGGAAAGGAAGGAAAGGAAAAGAGAGAGAAAAGTTAAATTGCAAGCACGGGCGGAAAAGAAAAAAAAATGGTATGCATTGTTATTGTCATTGACTATGTAATCGATTGACTGACTGACCTGCAAGTTGGTAGTAGTTTGCTTTTGCAACATCGTACTGGTCACCGTGCCCATCCAGTTGAAGGAATATGCTTGTGTTGAGCAGCAGATCCAGCATCGCCTCATCCCCTATGATCCCCAGTAACCGACCCCACACCGGCGATTTCAATGTGCCGATATGAGCATTTTGATACAAGTTCACGACATCGACTCCAAGCAAGCCCGAATTGATTCCCGGTGGTGCTGCAATGCGGTGGTTATTCAAAGCGTAACCTTGTGTCAGTATATTATTTGGCTTCCCTGGATAAACTGCGCTATTTGATCTCTTCGTTGATAAGGACCGATAGAAGAGAGTGTGGAGGGTTAGATCTACAATCTACCGAGAAGATTAGAGTGGATTGGCCTGCGTCAGGGGTAACCCACGTCAGGAACAATATGTAGGTACCTCAGATTGGGTGGGCGATGACTGACGGGAGCCTCCGGTTGATTGGGTGGCATCTTCAATGTCCAGTATCGCATTCGATACTCGCAGTTTCTCCAGGCCCACGACGGAGGTTTTTAGTAGTAATGCCAGGTCCTTATCGGACCCCTTACCAGCAACAACTTCCTCGAGTTTTCTAAGAGCGATCTTGGGTTTAGAGGAGAACGAGAGGGCCTGTTGAAGGAAGGAATGAAGCGGTAACAGGTGGGGGAAATATAACGAAAGCACTGGGTGTTGAAGAAGTAAGGGAGCGGGGGGGAAGGGCAATTGCGTTCTTTGCGGGTGCTGGCCTCGGAATTTCTTTGTTGGAGGACGAGGTTCAGGGGGAGCAGTTTGATTGATTAGAGGCTCAGCCATGAGCGAGTCTTCATTACCGTGGACTTTTGATGTTGCTGGCGCTGCTACTGCCGCCGCTCCTGCTTTTGGTGCACCTTCTGGTTTGCCATTGGCTCGACTCTTTGCTCGTTTTCGTTTCCTGTTAGATGCCATAGTGGTGATATTCGATAGATAGTCGTTGTGTAGGTATTGTAGTTTAGGATTCTTTATTATAGAAACGACCTGAAGGAAGGGGTGATTGCAATTGGAATTTGATTTTGAGGTGTGTAGGGCTTGTGGTTGCAGTTACGCCGATCTCGAACGACGGGCGCGTTTCCAGGAAAGTAGCACACTTAAACGAAACGCGTCCCAAAATTAGTCTCACATCGCAAAAAAGATAGTCCCCGTGGTATGGGCAGAGTTGATAGCGTGCCAAGGGGTGGGAGGGGGGGGCCATCGAGAGGCTGCAGCAGCGCTGGCTGCATCCACGAAACCAACACACCAATCATAGTAATGACGCTCATGCCCACGAATGCCTGTGGGCTTCCCGGACAGCAACCCCTTGCCTCACCATCAGACTCTGAGTGGTGGAAGTTTTGCCAGGAAACCCAGGCTTGTTCAAAGCAAAGTTGCTCAGGTTGCGCAACTCACCCAAGCTGGATGGATGATGATGGTGATGGACGGATAGGTAAATTATGTGGGAACTACAGCGAGTGAGAGCGAGAGGAATAAAGTGAAGGCAGGATTAGTTGACTTGACTCTTAACGCCTCAATCAATCAGCACTGATACCAACTCGTAGTCTTTGCGTCTGTCAGTCAGGCATTTAGCATCCCTCGCCCCCTCGGGAGGGAGAAAGAGTAGGGTAGAAATCATCAGCAAAATTCAAGGATTTTGCCCCTCAAATCCATCTCTGCCTGGGCTCCCCCATTCATCAATCGAAAGATCAGTCCAATCAATCAATCACGACACTCTGGCATCGAGTGCCCCCATCCCCCTCATCCAACCCGTATTCCCCTCCATCCCACATATCCATCCCCAGTCATTCCCACCCTCATCTTTTCATCCTTAGGACCTGAGCTGTTACTGCAACTCAGCCTGGGATTCCGGATAGTAGCATACATACATTTATACATACATAGGCCGTCCTGTGGGTGGTGGTTCGTCGTATCTCTTCCCCCTTACCCGTACAGGGCCTGTACTCTATCTTCTCTCTCTACATACTCGTAAAGTGCAGGCAGGGGGTGCGTTCCCTCTCGCGGGCTTCCTTCCTTTCTGCCCGACACTTGTTTCCTGTTCAAAACTTTTCCCGATCTAGCTCCGACATCCACCCTTCTTTCCCCTCCGAAACCTAGTTGAGAAGAGTAAAGAGAGAGAGAGAGAGAGAAACGGATTTGTGAGGGACGGTGATACATCGAAACCAACTAAGAAGGGGAAAGCAATAACACGCACAAACGGTGAGAATAGATTACTACTGCAGCTAACTGCTATACCCCCCTACTACTACTACTATTTACTACTACCGCTGTTACTGCCCAGCATCTTCCTTCTCCGTTTCCAGAATATCAGCTGCCCGCACTATCTACATGCCTACATACACTACACAGACCCCCGCCTGCCTGCACTCCTCCCTCCTCCCCCTCCACTCTCTCCTGTCTTCGTCGATTCAGCCCAATCTGACCTTCCTTGCTGATTTGGACCGCAGTTCCGAAAAGCGAGAAAGCAATCACGGACGCGGGGGGATCCTCACTGCATACACCCTACCTATCTACCCTTCTCTCTCACTCACTCACGCACTTACACGCCCACACAAACTCAGCAACACAAACCTCTTAGAGTAAAGGTCAAAACTAACAACCTTTTACGGTCAAAACTTACAAACAACCATTTCCTCTTATAGGAGACCCTATATAGCTATATCCTCGTGCTGAACAGTGAACCATTAGCATACATAGCGCTCCCCCACGGGAAAAAAAAAGGCCCACACATACTTATCCACATAACATTCCTGGTGCATGCCCTCCACTTACCTACATCATACATTACAGTACCCCCGGGCCCTAGCTACTAGTAGCCAACCCACAAGCAGCAGCAGTCCCCAGCAGCACGGTCCCTCCCTCATCATCTATCAGCTCCTCCATCGAAAGCAAACAAAACAACCAAATCCTTCTTCTCTGCAAACCTAGCCAGCCCTCTCTAATATCTTTACATTTACAGAATTTTTCCTTTCCTCCCATTCCCTTTTCCTTCCGTCGGTCGTTTCCCCTTCCCCTCCCTTCCGTGTGCATTTCTGATATACATCCCCCACATGTCCCGAAGCAATGCCTTCAAGTACCAGTACAAGTCATGAAGAACCTGCGCGCCCACCTCCGGCTGGTCCTCTCCCAGACCCACCCCCATCCACGTCTAACTCTACCGCCTCCTCCTCCACCCTCCCAAAGCAGCGTACCATCGTCCCAAAATCCTCAACGATAAACGCAAAGACCAGCTACGTCTCTCCATATCGTCAGCAGACTCCCAGTAGATCTGTATCCACACCACTGCTCCCTAAAACCACCGGCGTTACAAATACCCATTCGCCAAACTTTAAAAACATAGTCAGTAGATTCAACGAGACAAAGGATGAAAAGATCCCGAATCCAAGCAATAGAATTCCTGCCGTAGCGGCAGGTCCCGCTCCACCAGGATTCCGTACAAGGAAGGCTCCGCAGTGGAAGCCTGCAGGTGGCAGCGGAAATGGAAATGGACAGCAGCCGCAACAGCAGACAGGCCCAAGGTCGAATTCGTCAAACTCTAACAGTAATAGCAATGGCGGGAGAGGTGAGACTCCTCCTGCGCCGTTGGGAAGGGTGAAGACTGAGAGGTCAATGTCTGCCCATGATATACCTGCCGGAGGAGCCGGGGGCGTGGGTGGGCTGCAACGGACAAGGGCTCGTAAGATGTCGGAGGGTATGCTGAAGAGTCTACCGCCGTTGGATACGACGGTGAACGATAGACATCTCAGCGTGAACCGCCATAGGCGTAGTCGCTCGGCGTTGCAGTTATATTCGCCTTCTGCAGCGTCAATGGCAGATACGGAGGAGCTGGATGATGTTCAGGGTGGTAGTGGTGGTGGGATTGGTACTACCACTACTGCTGTTGCAAATTCCGCGGGAAGATCGTTACGCCATCGGAGGAGCAGGTCGGATGTGGGAAGCTACGGGTCTCCGGAGGAATTCGAATTTAAGGATATGATCTACACTGCGTCCCCACAGGAAGCTTCACCAAGGGTTGTACAGGCGGTACGATCTGGGATTCCACTACCAAAATCGCGGATCGCGTCACCTACATCTCCCGGTACGAAGCGTAAAGGAGGGAGGGATTCGAAGGCTGAGACGCTGGCACCTATTGCCGTGTCTTCACATGGATCACGACGTTCCCCACAACCTATTAGTAGTCCCAGACTACAAGCATATATATCAGCACCTCTTCCCGCAAAATCACCACCCCTACGGTCATCACGACAACGTTTACAGCAATCAACAGGCTCGGCAGCTGCTTCGTCAAGGCAAAAGTTCCAAAATAATTCGTCTCCAACAACACCGTCTTCATATGCAAAAGATGTGGGAATCCAGCGCGGCCGAGGCGCAAGGAGCTCTAGCGTCGGCGAAAACAGAGGCAGGGATATCAAGAAGAAGATACCAGAGCTAGGGACTGTGGACTTTGCTGCAAGGAGAGCACGCATTCAGAGTGCCTTTAATAAGACGCTGAAGGAAACTAATGAAGGGAAGGCCAAAATTGTTCCCGCTGTCAGAACATCTAAACATAGTATGCAGGGAGAGTTTGATTGTCCAACACCAAGAAGTGCTGTTAGCCAGAGGATTGATGAAGAGGATGAGGACGAGGCTGAACAATCATTTCAGCCACAGTTTACAAATCAGGCTGATATGCAGGCAGGGGCAGAGATAGGAGAAGAGGCCCTAGAGCTTCCCACGCCAATTGACATTGATGATGATTCTGATAGTCCCGATGAGCAACCCTTAGAGGCAGTGAGCTTTGTGCAGGAGGACGAGGAGGAAAGACCTGTGTTTCGACACCAGGTTTTTGATAGGCCAGCGTCGCAAGCGTCATCAACCTCAACGACCAGTGATAGTTCAGATTCATCGTCATCTTTTGACGACGATTTACCAGCACAAGGTAGGAGTGAAAATCGATTTTTGAAACATGTTCAACCACTAAGCTTTGATGAAGATACTATTTCTCCGATGTCACGGCAGAGGCCCTTCTCGTTAATCGAGCCCAAGCGTGCAGAGCCATCATCTATCCCTTTGATTGTTACACCAGACTCACCAGGAGAGCCTCCATTTCTTGCAGCATCGACTTTCCTCAGACCTAATTCGAACTGGTCGGGTTACAGCATCGACTCTGAATATACTCGAGAGCCCACAATTCCGGAAATGCCAGCACATCACATGTTTGATTCCGTTGGCGGCGGCGTTGCGGTAGAGCCCCCTACAAGCGACCAACGGGATGCAACCACGAGCCCCACCGAAGCGTACATCCCGATAATGCTCAGTAACACACTTGACGCTGCTATGCGAGGTAATATTATGGCACAAGCAGAGGTATATGGAAAGGCACAAACGAAACCTGGTTTATCTCCGGTACCAGCTTCAGTGTCTTCCCCCACTGACGCGTCCAACACGCCCGTTGACACCATAGTAGGTGTTTTTGAGGACTACGATGAACCCAGGGAGGATTTTTTTAATTCTTATGAAAACACACCGGTAGATTACCGCCCCAGGGACAGGTATTCAGGGGAGCTTGAGCTGGTGACTCCAGGTGGATATCAAGTGGACGATGAAGGGGGTGACCAGGAGACAGAAACAGAGATGGATTCGGGGACAGAGACAGGGTCAAGCGGAGAAACAGAAACGGAGGCAGAGGGAACAGAGCCCGAGTATCAGGATACAGAGGCAGAATATACAGAGACCGAGGGAGGATATCAAGACGAAACAGAGACGGAGGGAGAATATTCGCATTGTGATGGAGAATACGACGAACAGTATGATTCCACGTCTTGTTCGGAGATGCCGGATTCGGCCCATCCAGGATTAGACGATCAATCAGACAATCAATCAGACTGGTGGACGTCTGCGTCCGCTTGCCCTGAGATGGAAGATCACCCGGCTAGAAGATTATCCATGCAGCTAAATGATTCGCCAACAACACCGCGTCAATATTTCGAAGAGATAGAATCCCCGCTTCCCCCAACGCCGCCGCCAAAAGATTCCCACTTCTTACCGGCGGCTCCTGTGAATTTGTTGCCGGCCCCTGTTCCACCTGCAAAGGATCCACCGCGAGCTGTCTCACCATCACCGTCTGCAATGAGCGCGCCGCCCCCGGCTCATTCTACCCACTCGGGCTATACAAGCCATAGAATGCCAACCTACGGGTTTCCATCATACCCTTTGCAGTTACCTGAAATACAAAGGGACACAGAACCCTTGGGTCTGGCCATTCAAGTGATGCCTGACGACTCTCCGGAACTACCTCCAGTCCCACCAAACAAAAGACCAGGTTTTGATAGATGGCATACTGTTGCGAACATGGAAAACACTACTGATAGCGCCAGACCAAGCCTTGAGTATCATCACTCATACCAAAGCTCAAGGCAAAGCTTAGATCAATACTCCAACCACAGACCAAGTCTAGATCAATATCCAGCGGGATCACCATCCTCCAGCTTCCATTCTGAAATAGAATCAAGACTTAGTAACATCACGAACCAGAATGGCAACCGACACTCAGAAACACCAGCTTCATCCACTGCACCAACTAATCGCGGATCATCTTCAATACACTCTCAGGACCAGATTTTACCACAAGTTCCGCCTGAGCAGAAGATGCTTATTAAGCGTCGGCATCTACTAAAGGAGCTAGTTGACACAGAGAGCTCCTACTTTCGAGACATGACAGTCGCGATGGAGATTTACAAAGGATCTGCAAACGCATGTGCCGCAATCACCATGGATGATATCAAAGTTCTGTTTGGAAACACCGAGGCGATTGTTGCCTTCTCAAAATCTTTTCTGGAGTCTCTGAGGAAGGCTGTAAAGAGCGTCTATGTAATGCAACGAGCAAGGAGCGGCGTCACAAGTAGCGCTGCCAGTATCTCAAATTCCATCGTCAGCACCGACGATCGGAATAGCAGTTCAATGGACGACTTCGCCTTCGAGGAAGAAAAAGACCGAAAAACCTACGTCGGCGAGGTCTTTATGGACATGTTTTACCAAATGGAGAAAGTATATGGTGAATACTGCAAAAATCACGACGCTGCGGTAGGACGATTGGCAAAATTGGAAAGCAATAAGGGCATTGCGATTTGGCTATCAGTATGCTTTCCTATTCTTCTGGTCCGTTGCGTACATCCCATAGAATGGGTACTAATCACATGATAGGAGTGCAAAGCTTGTGCTGAGGACCTTACAAATGCCTGGAACCTTGAATCATTACTCATCAAGCCAGTACAGAGGATATTGAAATATCCTCTATTACTCACGCAGCTACTCGAATGTACTCCCAGGAATCACCCTGACTTCATACAACTAGAGGTAGCGGCCAAGGAGATGAAGTTCGTTGCTGATCGAATCAACGAAATGAAAAAGCGGAAGGACATGGTTGAGAAAATAGTGGGACGAAAGAGACAGGAATCAGACATCGGACATGGGATCACGAAGGCCTTTGCTCGCCAAGCAGAGAAGCTGAAACAATCCGTTGGGTTGTCCGAAGTTGTTGTCGATGAGACATATAATAAATATTTCGAAAATTATAACATGCACTTCGTACAGGTGCAGGTTATCATCCGGGATATAGAGATCTACAAGGACGATATACAAGGTCATGTGGACAAATTCCTCGAATATACACAAACAATCAAGGAATTTATTGATGTCTCCCACTCTCAACATCCAGAGGTTGAAACGAAATGGAGGAAGTTTGACAGTGCGATGCGAGAGCTTGCAACATCTTATCTTGCTGAACATGTAATACTCGATCTCAAAATTTTACAGGTGGATTTACTGACATCCTTAGAAACACCGTGTTCAAAAACACTCCATCGAACCTCTAACAATGCTTCTGAAACTGCACGAAAGTCCTCAGCGAATCATGACAAAACGCAACAAGAAGGCAGTTGACTACGCTCGCTTTAAAGCTATTATAGAGCGTGGTGATACGCCGGACAAGAAAACGAAGGACCTGGCAGATGCCTATCTGGCACTGAACGAAACATTGATTGACGAGCTTCCGAAACTTTTTAAGCTGACAAAGAAGATGGTCGATGCAGTTCTCCTGAACTTTGTAGAACTACAAGGTATCTGGATGAACGATTGGGCATCGAAGATAAAGATGACCTTCCCTGAGTTCTCAGCTCTGCCAGTAAAACTGGAAGAGGTTGTGAAAGACTTCACAGTCGACTTCTCCTACAATGAACAGAGCCTCAACCATCTGGGGATTTGCAATGGTGAGTTAAGTGTCCTCCGACGATAAAAATGGCATAAACTGACCCTAAGAAGGATCAATGAAAGCAAAATATATGTCATTGGTCCCTATCGCATCACCCTCGATGACAACATTATCTCTGGATGCATTTGACGATGCATCCAGTTACCGGAGGCCTTCAACTGCAACCGAAGAAGCAACACGAGACTCATCTCCTGGAATACGTGACAGGGCTATGTCTCTTACTAACAACTCACCCACGGCGGGCTCATTCTATGATAAACCTGAGCGGTTCTACGAGACTAAGCCCGAACGCCGATATAGCGGCGGAGGGTCAACTCTCTCGCCACTGGTAGCGATGGGTACTCCGGGCTTAAATATGATACCTCAAGTGGCACAGAACCTGGCCCAGAATAGCCGGAATCGAGCTACCTCGGTTGCGCTTCCTCATAGGAGCCCATCTACAAGTAGCTTGAAATTGAATCCCCAGGTCCAAAGATCATTCTCGGAGAGGCAAACACCCGCCCGTGATTTTACCTCCCGACCAGCGTCTAGGACCTACTCACTTGCTGAAACCATATTTGATGGGCCAGAAACCCATGCAGCGTATGCCTCTAGTGCTGCACTCGTCGACCCCCGTGTGGAAAGCCGGGCTCCCTCGCGAACAAATTCACCAGCTCCTATTTTTTCTTCGGCGATGCCCATGGATGACGACAGGGATATCAAGCGTGATGACACACCTTCCGGATCACCAATGATGCAATCAAGACCGCCTTCAAGGGCCCCTTCCATTGCAAGCTCAATGCATAGTCAAAGGAGAACCCTCACATTGTCGGGTACTAGTACCCCGATCTTTGTGGCAGCAAGTTTATACGAGTTCAATATCGACAAGCAGCGGAGGGAGGGGGGATTCCCTTATTTGACTTATGTCCAAGGCGAGATCTTTGATGTAGGTTTTATTATCTCTAATACACGTGAAGGCATTTACTAACCTCTTCTTGCAGGTTGTTGGAACCAAGGGTGAAATCTGGCTAGCCAAGAATCAAGACGATAAGAACGGGGAGCTTGGTTGGATCTGGTGCAAGCATTTTGCGAAGCTATAATGGCGAAAGCAGGACCTGCAATATTTTGAACAGCAAAAAGCAATTCTGGGTGATAGGGGGCATCTTATATCATTTGGAGGGCGTACTACTACTACTTCTTGTCAATTTCGGTTTTCTTCCCCCTTCTATAAATATTTTTGGTTTTATAAAGCACGACCGACGGCGTCACCAGATTCATTTTTCTTATTTGTCCTACATGATCGCTTCATAACTCCCACCATTCTTCTTCATTTCATGGTTTTCATTTCTTTCTTATCTGCACTTTGGGATTGGGTTTTTGTTTTGCGTTTTTGTTTTTTTTTGTTTTATTTTCAGGCGGAATGGAGAAAACATGGGGCCCTTTTGCATTTCATTAACTTTTTACTGGAGCATTGTATCTTTTTTGTCACTTTCATCGTCATATAGCGGGCGGCGTCTCTATCCTATATCCACTACTACTACTAAACTATTATTACTACTCTACTTTTTGTTCAATCCATTTTCTGTGCCACCTTTTTACTTTCTTTGGTTTCGGCAGTGGGGCTTGGTAAAGAAAAACAGGATTTTTCTTCCTCTTTTCTGGAACTATTAGTAATTCTTTGCATGCACATAATGAATACCCCCGCGATCTGTGTATGTACTTTATTGTTATCCCGAATGTGCGTTGCGAAATACTTGGTATATATTAAACCTGATAGCACCAAGGCGGTAGATGAATGAAAACTGATGTTACTGTTCGAAGCACTGCTTGGCGTTACGCGGGTGATAATCTATGACTTGAGGCGTTTGGGGTGGCGCCTAGTACGCGTGTATAGACATTTTTATACACTGTATATAATACCAACGGGCTTTCGGTATGATAGAAGAACATAGTCTCAATAAACTCAGACGCTGAGCGGATATATTCCCCATTGATTGGTCAATTCCCAGGTAATTGTAAAGGGATAACACGTTAAATGGTCAATTGGGTGCATCCCCCCTAACCCTTAACTCCCGCAGCTCTCCGCTCCCACCCGCCGACCCCCAACACCAAGTCCCTTTAGTCTGGCGCGAGACTAAGAATAACAGTGAGTGACACCTGCTATCACGTAGCATACATGTATATATTCTACATGCATGCACTCAGATCTTGAGAAAACCAACAAGCCTCTGTATTATTACCGATACAAAGAGCCACCCTAAAGGCATTCGTAATTTAGAAGAAAACTAGTCTTTGTGCCAGTAAGATAGGAGCGCGGTATGGTTTAGGCTATTACCCATGGCCCTAGGTTTGTTGCATTTGATTACATGTATGGATATGGCAAATTCATGCAATATCACTCGAAATACTCACTCGACCCCAGCCCTGACTCCATATTGTCAGAACCACAACCCTAACAACGCAGCATCCTCTTACAAAAACTGACAAACCCCATTTGGTGGCCACAAAAGCCAAACAAACTACGATCCAAGCCCGACCATTGCAATGTTCCAATACTATCACACTATCATCCAGGATAATATCTCATGTATCCATCCACCCAACTTACCGCACATTACCATTGAACTTGGGCGTCCCCCCTCGCAATGAAGCTCATCATAATTTCATTAACCCCACCGCAACTCACTCATCTTCTTGGATAAACACCAAAGCTCCCCAAACACCCCTACCCGTAGCAACTAAGTTTGTACAATATTCAAGTGGCGATGTAGAATTCTGGATGATTTACAGAAAATCTGGACCTCTCAAGGACACTTGAGGGTTAAAGCTCTTGCCTCTTCTATTGACAGAAGAGTTGTTACGGGTGACGCGGGTTAGCTCTTACCACCCCCACGCTTTTATTCCCCTGTAATGATACTCGGGAACATATAATGAATTAAACAACAAAAAAAAAATACTCGGAACATATTAGAATAGGGATATAATCTAAATCATGAGCTATCACTCGATTTCTGATTTTAAATCGCTATTGACATGGATACCGGAACCATCAATATAGCCGTTTTATGAGGTTCCACGGCTGAAATGTGGCCCCCGCCTTCCACTACAGAAGAAACCGATAGCGTACCGGTTCAAAAACCGGTTTGTTGAAACATCAATCTTGACCCTTCAACGGGTTTGGGTACTAGCAGGGACGACTATAACCCCTCATGAACTACCTTTATAATAAAGATATGCGTGACGTGGTGTCTGGAGTACGCCATAAATATAGACAATATATTTGTATGAGGAATGGACTAGCCAGAATTTTTTTTCTCATGACTGGTTTAGGTGATAACGCAGCAAAGATTCATACCCACCACCTACACGACTCTCGTCCGGAACCTCAAAACCATAACACCAATCTTTAAACTCAAAAAAAACTAATTTCTATTTGCCAAGTTCAAGTTCAAGTCTAAAACCAAACCTCATTACACATGATAGAGTAAGATAAAAGTACAAATTATACAGCCCACACCCCTATCACCCTTCTTTTGGGTATTAAATAGCAGTATATAGTGAAAAGTAAAGAAAACAAAAATCCAATGCTCCGATGGAATATGCATGCATGCAGATTATTTAATAAACTATCACAAAAGAAAACAGTAGACAGGTGCAATTAAAGTAGTCTTTTTTGAAACAAAATATGGTTTTGGAAAATGTGAACGCCTTTGCAAACCCGGAATTCGAACTATATGCCGCCGCCCTTGACCCTCTGAAACGTGCTGTTATGTAATTTGGATTTTGGTAGAGGTCCTCCCTCGATCCTCGATATCTTTTTCTCCTTTTCGTGAATGTCGTGTTAAGTTGCGTCATATTTTTCTAGCCCTTCCTTTTTCCTTGAATGGAACAGTAGGAAGATAGAATAGGAGGGGGTAGACCTTCTCTCCACCCAAAATGAAATATGTTATTAGGCCAAAGGAAAAGTTAAATATAAGGAAAATTTTATCAAAGGAGCGATGATATATCCCAACCCCAACAGTCCACAAGCCCAACCCCCAGCCGTCGTCGGCCGGCAACGAAAACGGTTGAACCAACAATATTAGTAAAGTGCTATTCTCACTTCCTCTCCTCTTCACGATCTCTTGATAGTCACCAATTAGGTCCAACCTCGTCCTCTTTTGTCTCTTTTCCGGCCGCTCGGACTGCTTCCATGAAAGAGTCCTCAGTGCCTACGTCCCACTTGACTTTAGCTCCCTGCCATCCTAGTAACCTAACAACTTCCTCCGCGCTCCCATATAACTTGCTTTCAAGCACTGTCAGTACGCCAACCGCGCACCTGACCAAGAACGCATCTCCCTCGAATCCATACACATCCCAGATTCTGCACACAATATCCAGCGGGCAATGCAGCGAGAACAATGTTAAAAACATTGCCTCGAGATACTGCGCCGGCTGCAATTTTAGTGTGGCGGTAATGTGGGCGTGTAGCGAGGGAAGTTTGTATTTAAACGCCTTAAGGAAAAGACTGTAGACACGTGACATCGCACCGGAGTCTTGTGTGTAAAAGGCAAGCGGGAGAGGACGATTTAGGAGATTAACAAGTGTTGTGAATGTTTCTGTTGGGGACTGGTTTAGAAGGAGGAGGCCAGCAACAGTGTGTGTGCCGTAAACATAACCAACGTCCGAGCGGTACATGGAATAGGCTTGAAGAACTTCCAGAAGCGACTCATGAAGCGGGCCATTTTCCTAATTTCCGTTAGTTTCGGGCGTTATTTATAGAAGTGGGGGCTTTGGGGGAGTTATACTTGGAAAATCTTCAACTCAGGGAAGGTCTTATTGACGTCTTTCCGGATTGAGTCAAACAGTTCCCGCTCTTTGAAGGAGTACATAGTTGGGCTCTTTTTCACACCTTGTTCTACATCTCGTGCGCGCTTGAGAGCGAGCTTAAAGGTCTCGGGGCCCACCGTGAGATGATTTCCGAACGACATGTTCCATACTTTGCCTCTACACCTCGGGGCTACACCGCGCCACCAGAGCTCGCGAGTTTCTTCGGTGCGCACCATAGTATCCCAATTGGGGATTATGTGTTGATCCCAAAGTTTGTGAGTGTCAGTCTTCATGCGATCCTTCTCAGCCTGTTCGGCGCGTTCTTTTTCCACACGTTTGCGTTCTAGAGTGTCCAGGTTAGATTTCCGATATCTTTCCGGGGGCGGGGTCCTAAGTACCAGCTTCTTGCGATAACCGCATCATCTTCTGGTACTCCTTCAAGTGTCTCTTCTCCTCCTCTTTGCTCTTCGGAGGCAACCAGCTCGGCCTCGTCCTTGACAAGACTTCAGCCTTCTCTTTACTTATCGGCAATGGATCAATCATCCCATTCTGCATCTGTATCGGCGGTAGATCCACCGGAGCTGCTTTTGTGGGCGATGCGTTCTTGTGTAGTGGTTCCGCCTTTCCCAGCGCAAGCCGTTTCTCGGTCTTTTCACTCTCGATCTCGGCATATGCTTCTAGCGCTTCGCTGAGCTCCTTTGCCTCGGTTCCCAGCTCACTCATTGCGTCGCTCCAGCTCTTGGCGCGATATTGCGTACGTCCCCTGATAGAATCTCCATGTGCGGGCTCCCCGGCAATCGGAATATTACTTGTCGACCCTCCCCGTGTTGGCGGACGTGTAGCCGGCGGCGTAGGTCCCGCGTTTCCAGGACGCCCTCCAAGCGGAGACTCCAACATTGTAGTTCGGTCCGGGCTCGGTGTAGCGCTTAATGCTCTTGCTGAGCGCGGTGATACTGGAACATTGTAGAAAATTGTATCCGCGGGTATGTCGTCATCCGAATCGCACTCATTTTCGAGCTCCTCGACTGTTTTCCTTGCAGCCTGCCATGAGCGACGGCCTGGTGCCATTCCTGGACCATTAGAGGTTGTTGGGCGCCCTGGCGACACAGGAGGCACTGGGCCCAAAGGGGAGGGTGATGGGGAGCGATTTGTGAGTGAGAGCCTGTTGAGACCAGTAGTTGAAACAGCGCGTCTGCTACTGGGGGTGTAGGGGACTAGATGATCGGCTTGTGGAGTGTGGACTTGGGGTTGAAGACTTGTGTGTGCAGGTCGTCTACCGTTTGTAAGGTCGCGACTACCAAGAGAATTTCGAGATTGAGGGCCCATGCTGCTGAGAGGGCGGGACATCATGGGCCCTCGGGGAGGTTGCTTCTGGAGCGTGGGACGGTGGTACTCCTCGATGTTGTCGTCATCGAGGCCGATTTCCTCAAAGTGTCCGTCAAGGTCGTTAAGAATACCACCATCGTCGAGCTGGAAGGATGAGGGGAGAGACGAGGAGGAGCCGACGGTAGAGGAAAGGCCGGGGGGTGAGACCCAGCCGCTGGAGGTCATTTGAATGTCGTGAGGTGGATTGTAGTGTGAAGAGTGAGGTTCTGGTTCTGGGTGTTCGTGGAATTGCTGAGTGAGACTCCGGGGCTGGATTGTAGGTAAAATTTTGGCGGTTTGGGGAGGAATTATGCTTAAAATTCAAAGTTTTCCGAAGATGTGGGTATTCTGTACTGATTAAGGTTGTCCTGAGCCTTGATACCGTTGATTATAGTAGAACTAAAGTACTAGTAGTGTGTAGTTGTAGTGAGTGATAGGTTTCCGACTCGATATACCCTTCGTCAAAGATTCCCTCCTATTACCCCGTGATTATGTTTCCCAGGTTGTCGTAGAATTTCCCGTGCCGCAAGAATAAACGGGGGCCTAGTGGTTGATTATCCCCTTATCAACAATCCTATGGACTCCTATTATCCCTATCCCGTTCGTTCCACCACTCTCCTTTTTTCTTCTTTACCCTCCTTTACTCCGAGATTACTTAACTCCGCACGCTATCAAAGACAACGGAGCCTTCGTGAGGGATAGTGTATTCGTGTATGCTTATGTTTGCGTGGTTATCTTTCGGGGGGGGCTCTGCTCTGCTGTTGAGGCGGAGTGGGAGCAATTGTGAAATAGCGAATGACGTCGACTTCCGGAATAACAAAAAAAAGTATCAATTGAGACTGCACCTGTACAGCAGATATGTAGACAGATGGAGAGCACAGTCTTAGCTATGCGTGTATTGTATGAGAGTATGTATGTAGACAAATAATGTGGAGTGGGAATGTAAAGAACGACAAAATAGGCAAGGCAAGGCAAGGAAGGATGGGAGAAGAAAGAAAGAAGGGAGGGAAGAAAACAAGAGTCGAGGGAGAGAAGGCAAAAACACACAGACACGGACACAAAAAGCAAAACTTAACACGATCTTGTAAAGAGAGGCGTTTTGTCTATCGGATCTAGCCTTCAAGTGCACAATACCTACTTAGCTAGAGTGACAGTCTACAACTTCCCTCATGCAGAAGCAATCTCCATGTTCATTCACAACGGGAGAGGCGGGCGGCAAACACAAACGATTGGCGCGAATCTCTGTTGCTTGCTGCTGTACGACACCAGTCTGTCTACAAGAGTACCTACCAGTGCCTGATGGATACACACCCACGAGTACGTGTGCCTGTTCGCACACTACCTACTTTAACCATTACCCACCTACCTATTTTACACGAGAGTAGTACCTGCACTTTACATCCACTCATCACAATCACAACTCCCCTATCATCACCCCTCACGAAAACATATGCTCAACCCAACCCTGACTGATCCTTTCGTGAACCCCTTGTTTGACTCTCACCCCAGCGCGCGCACACACCACCCCATCTACATCGAGAGTAGCACATTTGCCTTCTCCTGGTTAGTATCTCTATTCATTGAGCTCTTGGCGCGCTAAGAAATCTTCTTCTTCCGGGGGCCCGGGGGCTCGGCTCGGGATTCATGCAGACGCGAGGATCTCCGGATTGATTTGAGATGGAAAAGAGTTCTGACTCTACATAACACTAAAAAGAGCTTGGAGTTTAGTGGTGCGGGAATTTCCGAAACGGTAGTGGACCACTGGTGGTAGTGTGTGGTGATGTGGATATTGAGGGATCGAGATGGGATTAGATGTTGAGACGGTAGTGGCCCATAGAACCACTTAGGCTCGCTTGAGTGAATGATTCCTATCCATCGCGGTACGTTTCCGTAGCAATTTCCATCTGCTCCGTCAACTGCTCCGATTTGCGAGTATTTGTATCTCTAGCCCATCTCACTAGGTATACTACAACTAAAGGTATCCGTAGAACATTCTTTAGAACGGTGTCTAGGTGATGTATCTTCTTTTTTCGTGCCCGCTTCTTGACGTGACGTAGAGAATCGTGACGTCTTATACATGCCATAATTGCTTTATGCAAGCTCGTAATAAGGCATGAGGTGCAGCATTTTATGTGGCTCCCAAGACTTGCGAGCCAGGTTTTGAAGGAGACGGCTCTTTACCCCGGACAATCGGTGACCGTGGAGTTTGTAGGTATGTAGACCCAATTTATTTGAGGTGCAACGACATGACAAAGGCCAGGGCCTTTTTTGTAGAGTTTGGTTCGTACAACCACAGTCATGATTTTGTCCTGGTTGCGACTGATCTGGCTGATCATGTAGGCTTTATCCGGATGCATACAGATAGACATGTAGCTACCATTGGAACCAAGAATCAGTATCGTATGCAGGTGCGCTTATGCTACTCGGTTTCAGAGATGAATTTTGGCGCTGAGTTCCAACCGAAAAAAAATACTCTCTTTCCCTGTCGAGTGAGTCCTCTATACTATTCAATTCAGCGGCTAGTTTTGCGTGGTATGAGGCTAATGATCGGTGCGTATACATAGGGAACTCGCTCGAACTATCCATAGTAGAAGAAGGGATACTGAGAGGCGCCGCTGCTGCTTGTGGCAGTGACAGTCGTATGCTGTAAACTACGGTTTTCTGCCAGTGTCTTCATCAGTATAGAGGAACCTGTGCCCCCTATCCTAGCATCTTTACTTACGTGTTCTTTGTAGAAGGTCAATTCCTGTAGAGAAACATATGCTGTAAAATGACCATGCATGGTCAAGATGTTCAACTGGAGACTTTGGGCGAAAAGCAGGTGACGTCTTATTTTATGCTTCGATTACTTTTAGCTCCGCTGACCTTACATACACGCGCGCCCTTAAGCCAAGGAAAGTATACATCCTTACATGTAGAGTACTCTCCGTATGCTAAGATGATAGATAAGATGTAGGTACTGTACCAATACGGAATTGTGCAAAACTTTCGAATTAAATTGGAATCCTAACTATTACCGTAGCAAACCGTAGCCTTCCGCTTTTTTTTGGTACCGTATACAAATTAATGAGCTCGGGCGATACTTTGCTGATCATGCCACCTACTTCCGACCCCACTAGATCACACGGATACTATACCATCACATATCAGTAATGTCAATGAATACTTTAGTATTCTCTCCCGGAGAGATGAAGTCCTTTTTTTTTTTAAATGTAATTCGACGACGTACTCGGCGCATAACATTGTATTATAAGGTGAAGATACCCTCTCCGATCAATTTCAAAGAAAACACACTCGAGGGTAACACTTAACCACATCATAGATCTACCTTAGGGTGCTTTTTGCTCCTTGAGTATCCATAGAGCAAGTGGATGAGTGACATGTGTCATCGGTCGTATAGTGGAGATGAACCTGATAGACAGAGAGATGTCGAAGAGTCACTATGAGGAGAGGAGTATTTATTAGATATCTAACGAAAATGCTGATTGCCTATTTTTTATCAGATGAATTTTCGGCCGCCTGGTGTTCTAAATTTGCATTCCTGAAAACATATTTGATGGGTCACAAACGATCACTCTGCGTCGACCCTTAAATATCTCCGCAAGGCTTGAATTAGTCACTAAGGCTTCTCTGTGGCTCTGAATACTAGCAACCTAGAATAGAGAACCCCCGAATGGCCTAAAATGGCATGAATACCAATTGCCAAGTACTCTAGATCCTAGATCTTGCCAGTTGGGCAACGATCTCCTTCAATGGTAGACGACTACTCAGTGACCCTGCCCTACTTGAGTATGTACTGGATGGTCTAGCTAGAGGTACATACTTGCCAATATATTGATATTGACATTGGTTTACGGAGTGGAACATTGGGCTGATAAGTATTTAACATTAGACGATGTGTTTCTATGTGTACGCAGTACCACGCAGTAGGCGCTGCGCGTATCCGATCTGATAAGTGCACACCGATTGGGTCTTTACAATACAACTCATCTTCAGCTCGCAATCTGCCACGTTTTCTTTTATTATGTAATACTAGTGTCTTGGCAGCACACTTACTCGTTTGCTGCCTCTTCTTTCTTTGAGCATCATCAATATACACATATTTCGAGCTACCAATTGGTGAATAGTGATCAATATCCATCCACGAGTCTAAGGGACCGAGGACAGGATAACAGTTGGGTTGTCAAAAGCACTGGCAACACACCTAGTTGCTTTTTATTCGGTAGGCGTTAATTTGAGTCGCTAAAGATGCATCAACCAATGATAGGCAATATTTACTCGAGACGTGGACACCTTGTGAAACACTACCGATGGCGATGGCCATAAATAAATAAAAAACGTCCACTCACGTTGTCATACTCATGGTCCCGCGTGCATACACATCGGCAGTAGGGTAGGTACTCTAGAGCACCATGGAGTGATCTGCCTAGAGTACCCCTCACACACTCATACAGCTCATACAGCTACCTACATAGCTCTCGCAGCTGCCAAAAAGAAGGTTTCCAAACACTTACGTCAAACATCATCATCATCACTCGCTAGTTCTGCGAAATGGCCGAAGAAACGAGTTACTATGAACTTCTCGGTGTTGATGAAAATGCAACGGCACTTGAGATAAAGAAAGCCTATCGCAAGCAAGCAATTATCCATCACCCCGACAAGAACCTGGATGACCCCGACGCCCCTATACGATTTCAGGAGGTATGAAATAATTTCAGTGTACCGGGGTTCCTGGTTTAGCTGACAGTCAGGTGAAGATTGGAGAAGCATACCAAGGTAACATTAACACCACATCGTGTATGCGCCGAGGGCCTAATTCTGACACTTTCTAGTATTGAGCGACCCAGCTCTCCGTAAGAAATATGATACCTTAGGAAAGGAACATGCTAGACCTGAGGCTGGCTTCGGTATAGCTTCATCTACATTCAGTCGAGTTTTTAGAAGTTTGCTGAGCATTTCACAGACGATGCACTTGAACTTTTCAACAAAATATTTGGTGGCGACGCTTTTCAGGATTGGTAATTCACATACACATCCATGCTGTACGTACATTTAACTAATCTTTTGAAGGGTTGGTGAAATATCCCTATTCAAAGATATAATAGCAATAATGGAAATCAAAAACCGCGAAATTGACCACGACGAACCCGAATCTCCGTCGCAAAGCTCTACATCTAGACCTACACAGTTTATGGTTACTGGTATGCCAGTCAAGTCTATACGCGGTTCTTTACTATTTCATATGAGTAATAACGATTTTTGATAGATCAATCTCAAGAATTTCCCGAGGAAACTCGTGCCGCTAGAAGGGCTAGGCGGAGGAGTGGGGGTTCAAAGACAGTACCACCGATGAGTAGAGAAGCCAGGGCGGAAGCGCGAAAGAAGGCAGAACTCGCCAAATATGAGGAAGAGAGGCAAAGAGCGCGCGAAGAGAGAGTTGAAACTTTATCAAATAACCTGATCCGAAAACTTAGTATCCTAACAGATACCAAAATGAAAGCCCCTGATATCCGGCGTTTCCAGAGAAGCATTCAGGTACCAAGATTTATTATGTCACTCTTTATCTTTTATAACGGTGATACTAACTATGCTTTTCTCCCGCAATCAAGGGAGAGGCTGAATCTCTTAAACTCGAATCATTTGGCCTCCACCTTTTGCATACTCTTGGTGATATTTATCAATCCAGAGGCCACGCCTTCCTCGATAATTCAATCCCTGTAGTAGGCTCAATTGGCTTCTGTGCAATGTTCAATTACGTGATAGAAAAGACCACCGACATTACCGAAACGTGGGGGACACTCTCTTGCGCTATGGGTGCACAGACTGCAGTCAAGCAAATGCATAAAGCGGAAGAAATGGGCGGAGACGAGTGGACGGTAGAAAGAAAGGCAGAGATTGAGCAACTGACTACCGGCAAGATTTTGTTGGCGTGTTGGAGGAGCACAAAATTGGAGCTACGAAAAATTATCCGGTACTTTATTCCAGCTTGGCTAGCCATGAAATTCATATAAGCTAATGAGAATGAAGTGATGTTTGTGATCGCGTTCTCAACGGAGATGAGGAGTATGACTTGCAGAGACGGAGGGCCGAGGCTTTGATAATCGTTGGGGAAGTTTTTAATTCTGTAAGCTACTCTCGTGCGCCAAGACGCATATTATTGGTTTACTAATGCTAATATCTATTGCTATAGACATATAGAGACTCTACAGACGACCCCAGCGATAATATTTACGAGACATTACTTTATGGGGCGTCTGAGAGATAAAGTTAGTGGAATATGTAGCTTATGTAGTTTATGGCCCATTTACTTTCCGCTTAGTGTATGGTCTCCTGGAGTGACACACGCGCACTACTTTTAATTATTAACATTATTAACACCATACCAATATTGAATCGATTTTCTTTTTCTCTCTTTTTTTGCTTTTACCATTATCGCCTTTCCACTATACTGGATTCGGAATAAGACTTTGGTACCTCCAGATACTTCGAATCAGCTTACTGAGATACAATCATTGGCAGAGAGGATCAACACGCAGTTTCTGCGGGAAAGATGATTCTGGATAAATAGTAATCAGTGGGAAAGATCAGTCTGACAGCTCACCGTGCCAAGAGTCCTTATTTACCAACCGTCAGCGTTGGTGAACGACTGAGGTTGAAAGGTGAATGTAGTTATCAAGCCGACCCTCTCATCACCTCGCCCGGGACAAACCCGGGACAAGCCAGGGGATATTATTTCCAATCAATCAGATGCTCCTCATGCATCCGAATTCAGCCTTGTGTTCATTCCCGGGTAGGAAAAGCAACGAAAGTTAACTAACTTCTCCAGTTTAACACGTAGAGAAGAAATATGGAGAGATATGGCTCACTGGACATTATATCTGTACAGGTTCGGCCTCTGAATAAAACATTAATTTATTTTGGTTTGTTTGGTTACTTTCCAACATCGGACGTCTCTGGATGCAATAAATGAACATACTCTTGTACTCTACGAGTGATATATCATGATCCCACTAGCTGCTACCAGTCTCTATCCAAAAGCTAAGGCTTTATAGGTGCATGATTTGTTATTCGTGGGCTAAATTGGAGTTTCTCTACTGATATATTTGCTCTAATCTATGATCATGATTGCGCGTTGGGTTTGAACTAGCTACCGGCTTCAAAGGGTTATAGATTAACAGCTAGTTAGCCACAATATTTTTACCAGATGTAAAATTTCCAATTGCAGCGACACCATCGGTCACACCTATTTTGATTACACCACGCCAAAAATTACTGCAATTGCTCCCAAACTCATTTTATAAACAACAGCAGCAGCAATCTATGCTGTGCCTTATTATTTCGGTCAAAAACATTGCATGCGCTCAACATAAGATTCATAACTATATATCATTCATTCAGCATAAACAACTCTGCACTGTCTCACTAACGATAATGTGGTGGTGTGTAGTGCGATCCCGCATATGGCTGTTGGGTCCCCGAATATACCGGTTGTGGCGAAGGAAGCACCTGTACAAAACGTTCCTCTCCCGCGCTATAAACCAATGGCGAGTGTGGCTGTGGCGGTAATGATTGTATGGTGGTCTTTGGGTTCACAAACTCAAACTCGTTATCAGCCAGGACAGCTTTCCCGGGCCCATGTTCACGGTGGGCTATTCTCCCGATGAAGTAGGATGATAAGAAGATAAAGCTATCAGTTTCAGAGGGGTTAGCAAGTGTAATGGAAGAGAGAATGAATGTGGGATTATAGCATAC